AAAAGTGGCTCTTGGTCCAAAAGTGGTTCTTGGTCCAAAAGTGGCTCTTGGTCCAAAAGTGGCTCTCGGTCTAAAAGTGGCTCTTGGTCCAAAAGTGGCTCTCGGTCTAAAAGTGGCTCTTGGTCCAAAAGTGGTTCTTAGTTCAAAAGTGGTTCTTGGTCCAAAAGTGGCTCTTGGTCCAAAAGTGGCTTTCGGTCTAAAAGTGGCTCTCGGTCTAAAAGTGGCTCTCGGTCTAAAAGTGGCTCTCGGTCCAAAAGTGGCTCTCGGTCTAAAAGTGGCTCTCGGTCCAAAAGTGGTTCTTGGTCCAAAAGTGGCTCTTGGTCCAAAAGTGGCTCTTGGTCCAAAAGTGGCTCTCGGTCTAAAAGTGGCTCTCGGTCCAAAAGTGGCTCTTGGTCCAAAAGTGGCTCTTGGTCCAAAAGTGGCTTTCGGTCTAAAAGTGGCTCTCGGTCTAAAAGTGGCTCTCGGTCTAAAAGTGGCTCTCGGTCCAAAAGTGGCTCTCGGTCTAAAAGTGGCTCTTGGTCCAAAAGTGGCTTTCGGTCTAAAAGTGGCTCTCGGTCTAAAAGTGGCTCTCGGTCTAAAAGTGGCTCTCGGTCCAAAAGTGGCTCTCGGTCTAAAAGTGGCTCTTGGTCCAAAAGTGGTTCTTGGTCCAAAAGTGGCTCTTGGTCCAAAAGTGGCTCTCGGTCTAAAAGTGGCTCTTGGTCCAAAAGTGGCTCTCGGTCTAAAAGTGGCTCTTGGTCCAAAAGTGGTTCTTAGTTCAAAAGTGGTTCTTGGTCCAAAAGTGGCTCTTGGTCCAAAAGTGGCTCTTGGTCCAAAAGTGGCTCTTGGTCCAAAAGTGGCTCTTGGTCCAAAAGTGGCTCTTGGTCCAAAAGTGGCTCTTGGTCCAAAAGTGGCTCTCGGTCTAAAAGTGGCTCTCGGTCTAAAAGTGGCTCTCGGTCCAAAAGTGGCTCTCGGTCCAAAAGTGGCTCTCGGTCTAAAAGTGGCTCATGGTCCAAAAGTGGTTCTTGGTCCAAAAGTGGCTCTTGGTCCAAAAGTGGCTCTTGGTCCAAAAGTGGCTCTCGGTCTAAAAGTGGCTCTCGGTCTAAAAGTGGCTCTCGGTCTAAAAGTGGCTCTTGGTCCAAAAGTGGCTCTTGGTCCAAAAGTGGCTTTCGGTCTAAAAGTGGCTCTCGGTCTAAAAGTGGCTCTCGGTCTAAAAGTGGCTCTCGGTCTAAAAGTGGCTCTTGGTCCAAAAGTGGTTCTTGGTCCAAAAGTGGCTCTTGGTCCAAAAGTGGCTCTTGGTCCAAAAGTGGCTCTTGGTCTAAAAGTGGCTCTTGGTCTAAAAGTGGCTCTTGGTCCAAAAGTGGCTCTTGGTCCAAAAGTGGCTCTCGGTCTAAACGTGGCTCTCGGTCTAAAAGTGGCTCTTGGTCCAAAAGTGGCTCTTGGTCCAAAAGTGGCTCTTGGTCCAAAAGTGGCTCTTGGTCCAAAAGTGGCTCTCGGTCTAAAAGTGGCTCTCGGTCTAAAAGTGGCTCTCGGTCTAAAAGTGGCTCTCGGTCTAAAAGTGGCTCTCGGTCTAAAAGTGGCTCTTGGTCCAAAAGTGGCTCTTGGTCCAAAAGTGGCTCTTGGTCCAAAAGTGGCTCTTGGTCCAAAAGTGGCTCTCGGTCTAGAAGTGGCTCTTGATCCAAAAGTGGCTCTCGGTCTAAAAGTGGCTCTCGGTCTAAAAGTGGCTCTCGGTCTAAAAGTGGCTCTCGGTCCAAAAGTGGTTCTCGGTTCAAAAGTGGTTCTTGGTCCAAAAGTGGCTCTTGGTCCAAAAGTGGCTCTTGGTCCAAAAGTGGCTCTTGGTCCAAAAGTGGCTCTTGGTCCAAAAGTGGCTCTTGGTCCAAAAGTGGCTCTTGGTCCAAAAGTGGCTCTTGGTCCAAAAGTGGCTCTTGGTCCAAAAGTGGCTCTCGGTCTAAAAGTGGCTCTCGGTCTAAAAGTGGCTCTCGGTCTAAAAGTGGCTCTCGGTCTAAAAGTGGCTCTCGGTCCAAAAGTGGCTCTCGGTCTAAAAGTGTCTCTTGGTCCAAAAGTGGCTCTCGGTCTAAAAGTGGCTCTTGGTCCAAAAGTGGCTCTTGGTCCAAAAGTGGCTCTTGGTCCAAAAGTGGCTCTTGGTCTAAAAGTGGCTCTTGGTCCAAAAGTGGCTCTTGGTCCAAAAGTGGTTCAATCAATCAATCAAAGTTTATTTGTAGAGCGCCTTTCATACACAGGGCAACACAAAGCGCTTCACAGTCCACATCACAAATCATCACATAAAACAAACACCAGAATCACAATTAAAACATTAAAATCACACAAAAGATTAAAACACAATTAAAACATTAAAATCACACAAAAGATTAAAACACAATTAAAACATTAAAATCACACAAAAGAATAAAACCATTAAAACTTTCAAAATTACACAAGAAATTTAAAAAAATAAATAAATAAATGACAACAGTGCATTAGAAATTGAGATAAAATCCTTCAGTTGTATGCACAGGCAAACAGAACAGTCTTTAACCTGGATTTGAACATTGACAGAGTAGACGCCTCCCTCACATTTTCAGGGAGATTGTTCCAGATCTTAGCTGCATGGATCTGAAACGCAGCCTCCCCATGTTTGGTTCTCACTCTGGGCACCAGCAGGAGGCCAGTCCCTGTGCTCCTCAGAGTCCGGGCTGGTTCATATGACACCAACATGTCACTAATGTATTTTGGTGCAAGGCCATGGAGAGACTTGTACACAAGCAGAGCTGTTTTAAAATCTATTCTTTGAGCCACAGGAAGCCAGTGCAGAGACCTGAGGACCGGACTAATATGGTCATACTTCCTGGTTCCTGTCAGGACTCTAGCTGCTGCATTTTGGATGTACTGCAGCTGCTTACAGGTCTGTTTGGACAGACCTGTAAGCAGGCCATTGCAGTAGTCTAGCCTGCTGGAGACAAATGCATGGACAAGAATCTCCAAGTCTGCCCTGGACACTATATTTCTAACTTTGGCAGTGTTCTTCAGATGGTAAAAAGCTGTTGATGTTATTGATTTTATGTGGCTATTGAAATTTAGGTCTGAGTCCAGTATTACCCCCAAATTTCTGACCTTGCCTGAAGGAAGTAGGGAGAGAGACTGAAGTTGACAAATGACGCCCTCTCTTTGTTTCTGGGGACCAAAGACAATGATTTCGGTTTTGTCTGCATTTAGCTGGAGGAAATTATTTTGCATCCAGTCACTGATCTGTTGGAGACAGTGAAGGAGCAAATCCAGTGGTCCATGTTCTCCTGCAGTCAGTGAGACATAGATCTGAGTGTCGTCGGCGTAATTGTGGTAGGACACTTTGTTTCTTTGTATTAACTGACCTAACGGCAGCATGTAGAGATTAAATAGGAGAGGTCCCAGGATCGACCCCTGTGGTACTCCACAGGTCAGGGCCACATGATCTGAGACACAGTCTCCAATCTCCACAAAGTACTTCCTATCCTCCAGGTAAGACCTAAACCAGTCTAGGGCTGTGCCAGTGACACCAACCCAGTCCTCCAGTCTCTGCATGAGGATCTCATGGTCGACAGTGTCGAACGCGGCACTAAGATCTAACATGACCAAAACTGTGACTTTACCTGCATCAGTGTGAAGTCGAATGTCGTTTGTTACCTTCACTAGAGCGGTCTCAGTGCTGTGGTGGGGTCTAAACCCAGACTGGAACATATCAAAAGAATTATTCATTGTTAAAAATTCAGTAAGTTGTTGGGAGGCCACTTTTTCAAGATTTTTTCCAATGAATGGCAGATTCGATATGGGGCGATAATTTTGAAGTCCCGCAGGATCCAGTTCTTGGTTCAAAAGTGGTTCTTGGTCCAAAAGTGGCTCTTGGTCCAAAAGTGGCTCTTGGTCCAAAAGTGGCTCTTGGTCCAAAAGTGGCTCTTGGTCCAAAAGTGGCTCTTGGTCCAAAAGTGGCTTTCGGTCTAAAAGTGGCTCTCGGTCTAAAAGTGGCTCTCGGTCTAAAAGTGGCTCTCGGTCCAAAAGTGGCTCTCGGTCTAAAAGTGGCTCTTGGTCCAAAAGTGGCTCTTGGTCCAAAAGTGGCTCTCGGTCTAAAAGTGGCTCTCGGTCTAAAAGTGGCTCTCTGTCTAAAAGTGGCTCTCGGTCTAAAAGTGGCTCTCGGTCCAAAAGTGGCTCTCGGTCTAAAAGTGTCTCTTGGTCCAAAAGTGGCTCTCGGTCTAAAAGTGACTCTTGGTCCAAAAGTGGCTCTTGGTCCAAAAGTGGCTCTTGGTCCAAAAGTGGCTCTCGGTCCAAAAGTGGCTCTCGGTCTAAAAGTGGCTCTTGGTCCAAAAGTGGCTCTCGGTCTAAAAGTGGCTCTTGGTCCAAAAGTGGTTCAATCAATCAATCAAAGTTTATTTGTAGAGCGCCTTTCATACACAGGGCAACACAAAGCGCTTCACAGTCCACATCACAAATCATCACATAAAACAAACACCAGAATCACAATTAAAACATTAAAATCACACAAAAGATTAAAACATTAAAATCACACAAAAGATTAAAACACAATTAAAACATTAAAATCACACAAAAGAATAAAACCATTAAAACTTTCAAAATTACACAAGAAATTTAAAAAAATAAATAAATAAATGACAACAGTGCATTAGAAATTGAGATAAAATCCTTCAGTTGTATGCACAGGCAAACAGAACAGTCTTTAACCTGGATTTGAACATTGACAGAGTAGACGCCTCCCTCACATTTTCAGGGAGATTGTTCCAGATCTTAGCTGCATGGATCTGAAACGCAGCCTCCCCATGTTTGGTTCTCACTCTGGGCACCAGCAGGAGGCCAGTCCCTGTGCTCCTCAGAGTCCGGGCTGGTTCATATGACACCAACATGTTGTAATGTCGTCTTGACATAAATGAAACGCCACCACAAGTACCGAACAAGAGCTGGTGGTTTATTGTACAAGCTCGTATATGAGAACAGTCCACAAGATCCCGCAGTACATCTCGCGTTAGTATATGGTGCCTTCACAGACCACATAGTGTGGGAAATACACTCTTACTGCCGACATCGCTGCTCACGGGCAGAGGATCATCCGGTGACCCGCTGGGGTTTGGATTCTTGGAAGCAGCGGGCAGTCGCAATAGGTGACGGCGGTTACGTCTGTAACAACCTCCCTCCGGCGTTACCACAACGTATGACCTAGGGGTAGAACAGTTACCTTGTGTCGTTCCTTGTGTAGTCCATTGTTTCTCATTGTCCAACTTCATCAGGACCCCTTCTCCAGGGTCCAGTGGTGGTAAGTGTCGAACACCATTCCTGCGGTTGTAGTAGAATGCTTGTTTCAGCTTAGCCGCAGCATCCGCAGAGCGCATCTCCTTCCTATCTGGCCAGCTCGGATCCAGGTTAGCAGACAGGGTGGGCAGCGTGGTTCTGATCTTGCGGCCCATCAGCAGCTCTGCTGGGCTGAAGCCTGTAGAAGTGGTAGGAGTGCTCCTATAAACCAGAAGAGCCAGGAGGGGGTTTTCCTGCTTAAGGATCCCTTTTGCTATCTGCACTGCCCTTTCTGCATGTCCGTTACTTTGAGCGTAATGCGGACTGGAGGTGGTGTGGACGAAATCAAACTCTCTGCTAAACCTTCTGAACTCTTCTGAAGAAAACTGAGGCCCATTATCACTAATAAGCTCCTCTGGAACCCCAAATCTAGCAAAAGTGGCCGCTAGCTTGCCTATAACCTGTGTGGTTGTGGCTGTTGGTAAGTTCAGAATCTCAAGGTAACGAGAGTAATAATCAGAAGCTACCAAGTAGGTTTGCTTGTTGTACTCGCATAAGTCTACACCCACTTTTTGCCATGGTCTATCTGGCAGCACTGTAGACATGAGTGGCTCTTTAATCTGAGTGTGTCTGTTAGTATTACAAAAATCACACTGCGCAACTTTGGCATTTATGTCTTTTGACATCCCTGGCCACCACACTGACTGTTTGGCTCGCTCTCTGCACTTCCCTAAGCCTTGGTGACCATCATGAATTCTCTCTATCATCTCAGATCTCAAGGTGGTGGGAATGACTATACGGCTTCCCCTTACAACCAACCCGTCTACAACTGACAGTTCACCCCGCACTTTGTAAAACCCTCTAACACCCTCCGGGACCCGTCTTTCATACTCTGACCAACCCGTCTGAGTGAGCTGTTTCACTAACTGTAACTCGGGGTCTTGGATAGTGTGGTCTCTTATCTGCTGTAGTTTCCGGGGGGTGGCTGGTAAGTGGCTGAGGACTGCTCCGATGTGCACGGTCACGTCCTCTTCAAGGTGCTCGTCTCCGGTCTGTTCCAGTGGACCCCTGGACAGCGCGTCTGCCACTGCCAAGGTCTTGCCAGGTGCGTACACTGCTTCTGCATTAAAACGCATCAGTCTCATCAGTAGTCTCTGACACCTTAGTGGGACATTGTCCAAGTCCTTGTTGTTCATTAAAGGCACTAAGGGCTTGTGGTCAGTGATCAATGTGAAAGTCTCTAGTCCAATCAGGTATTTCTCAAAGCGCTCACAGGCCCAGACGCTCGCCAGGCATTCCTTCTCTATTTGCGCGTACCTGGTTTCCGGATCACGAAGTCTCCTGGAGCAATATGCGACCGGCTTCCAATCTTCTCCATGTTGCTGTAGGAGAACTCCCCCAAGCCCATAGCTGCTGGCGTCAGCCGACACCTTTGTGGGCTTGTTGGCATCATAGAAGGTAAGTACAGGTGCAGATGCCAGGGCAGATTTCAATCTTCGGAAGGAGGACTCCTGCGCTGGACCCCACTGCCACTCAGATTTGGTTTTGAGCAGTTCATAAAGTGGTTGTCCAACTGTAGACATCTCCGGAACAAACTTGGCTAGGTAATTTACCATACCAATAAAGCGTCTCAGTTCAGCGACATTCTGGGGTTTCGGGAAATTTTCTATCCCCTCTACTTTTGCTGGGTCTGGTTTCACCCCATTCTCATCAATGATGTGCCCCAGAAACCTGATTTGTCTCTGTTTGAATTTACACTTGCCTTCGTTCAGTTTCAGACCAGCTGCCTCAATCACTTTCAGGACCTGCTCCAAACGCTTGTCGTGTTCCTCTTCAGTGTCTCCATGGACCAAGATGTCGTCCATATACACCTCTGTACCTTCCAGCCCCTGCAGTGTCTCTGCCATCTTGCGCTGAAATATCTCCGGGGCGCTCGATATCCCAAATGGCAGTCTGCAAAACGCATATCTCCCAAAGGGAGTAATGAAGGTGGTGAGTTTACGACTGTCTTTATGTAGTGGGATTTGGTAGAACCCACTAGCAGCATCCAGGGACGTGAACACTTTGGATCCTGAGAGTCTTGGCATTATCTCCTCCACTGTAGGTAACACATATTTCTCTCGTGCTACTGCTTTGTTCAGTTTTCTTAAGTCAGCACAGCATCTTACCTCAACTTTATTGGGTTTTAGTACTGGCACCATTGCAGCGCACCATTCAGTGGGCTCGGTTACTTTCTCAACGATGCCCTCTGTTCTCTAGCCTTTGTAGCTCCTTTTTAACAAGTGGCATTAGTGGTAGCGGGACTCGTCTAGCCACATGGACCGCATATGGCTGTGCATTGTCTTTAAGCAGTATTTTCGCAGGTTCAGTCTTCAACAAGCCGCTGGTTCCGAACACAGCGCTGACCTCCTCTACTCTCTTAACTAGACCCATCTTCACCGCTTCTATGCGGCTGAGCAGGCAGCTGTTTCCTTTTATCACATATACTGGAAATGTGTAGCTTTCTCCTTTGTATTCTGTGTTAGCTTCAAACATCCCAAAACACTTGAGTGGACCTCCAGGCCCCGAGAAGGGTGTACTAGTAGGGGTCAGTCTGTATTTCTTTGTGAGTAGACTGAATGTTTTGTCTCCGATGATACTTGCATCTGCCCCTGTGTCTATTTTGAATGCCAGGGGAACTTGGGCAATATCTAATGTGACAGTCCATTTATCTGGGTTTGCTGGGCCAGTAACTTCACCTAAGAACTGGTACTGGGTGGTTTCCTTTAGTTCATTGACAACTTTCGTACGGCATACACGAGCCCAATGCCCCTTTTTGTTGCACTTTTTGCAAAAACTTTTAGCAGCTGGGCATTTTCTTTTATCATAGTGCTGTGTGCCGCACCTAACGCAGTCTGGGGACTCTCTTTCAGTGTGTGGGGTGTGCTTTTTGTGTAGTACTTTGCGACGTCCTCCTGCAGAAACGCTTGCCACTTGCATCTCCGGCTGGGGACCGCTAGCTTGGAGGCTAATCTGTTTAGCAACCTCTTCTGACTGTCGTACTTGCTGTATAACATGAGCCAGCGTCAGATCTGCTGTGAGCTGCAATTTCAGAGACAATTCTTTGTCTTTAATGCCCACTACGAGTCTATCACGGATGTGTTCATCCCGCTTATCGCTAAAATCACAGTTCTCCGCTAGCTCGTACAGCACCCTTATGTACGCCTCTGCCTTTTCCCCTTGCAGTTGGTTACGTTGGTAGAAACACGCTCTCTCGTGTATTACGTTGCGTCTGGGTATGAAGTACTCATCCAACTTTGAGAGAACCCCTTCGTAATTCTTCTTATCGTCTTCCGTAGCAAACTCGAACGAGGCGAAGATTTTCTCTGCTTCGCTGCCCATCGCGTAGATAAGTGAGCAGACTTGAACCTCGCCATTTTCTTTGTTCAGTTTTGTGGCCAGCCTGTAGCGTGCGAACCTCTGTTTCCACTCCGGCCATTCTCCCGGGCTCGTGAAGTTAAACTCCGACGGAGGATTAAACTTGGACATATCGGCTCGTTAAAGTATTGCACCGCTTCTGACACCATGTAATGTCGTCTTGACATAAATGAAACGCCACCACAAGTACCGAACAAGAGCTGGTGGTTTATTGTACAAGCTCGTATATGAGAACAGTCCACAAGATCCCGCAGTACATCTCGCGTTAGTATATGGTGCCTTCACAGACCACATAGTGTGGGAAATAACAACATCATTCATTACACATGTCACTAATGTATTTTGGTGCAAGGCCATGGAGAGACTTGTACACAAGCAGAGCTGTTTTAAAATCTATTCTTTGAGCCACAGGAAGCCAGTGCAGAGACCTGAGGACCGGACTAATATGGTCATACTTCCTGGTTCCTGTCAGGACTCTAGCTGCTGCATTTTGGATGTACTGCAGCTGCTTACAGGTCTGTTTGGACAGACCTGTAAGCAGGCCATTGCAGTAGTCTAGCCTGCTGGAGACAAATGCATGGACAAGAATCTCCAAGTCTGCCCTGGACACTATATTTCTAACTTTGGCAGTGTTCTTCAGATGGTAAAAAGCTGTTGATGTTATTGATTTTATGTGGCTATTGAAATTTAGGTCTGAGTCCAGTATTACCCCCAAATTTCTGACCTTGCCTGAAGGAAGTAGGGAGAGAGACTGAAGTTGACAAATGACGCCCTCTCTTTGTTTCTGGGGACCAAAGACAATGATTTCGGTTTTGTCTGCATTTAGCTGGAGGAAATTATTTTGCATCCAGTCACTGATCTGTTGGATACAGTGAAGGAGCAAATCCAGTGGTCCATGTTCTCCTGCAGTCAGTGAGACATAGATCTGAGTGTCGTCGGCGTAATTGTGGTAGGACACTTTGTTTCTTTGTATTAACTGACCTAACGGCAGCATGTAGAGATTAAATAGGAGAGGTCCCAGGATCGACCCCTGTGGTACTCCACAGGTCAGGGCCACATGATCTGAGACACAGTCTCCAATCTCCACAAAGTACTTCCTATCCTCCAGGTAAGACCTAAACCAGTCTAGGGCTGTGCCAGTGACACCAACCCAGTCCTCCAGTCTCTGCATGAGGATCTCATGGTCGACAGTGTCGAACGCGGCACTAAGATCTAACATGACCAAAACTGTGACTTTACCTGCATCAGTGTGAAGTCGAATGTCGTTTGTTACCTTCATTAGAGCGGTCTCAGTGCTGTGGTGGGGTCTAAACCCAGACTGGAACATATCAAAAGAATTATTCATTGTTAAAAATTCAGTAAGTTGTTGGGAGGCCACTTTTTCAAGAATTTTTCCAATGAATGGCAGATTCGATATGGGGCGATAATTTTGAAGTCCCGCAGGATCCAGTTCTTGGTTCAAAAGTGTTTCTTGGTCCAAAAGTGGCTCTTGGTCCAAAAGTGGCTCTTGGTCCAAAAGTGGCTCTTGGTCCAAAAGTGGCTCTTGGTCCAAAAGTGGCTTTCGGTCTAAAAGTGGCTCTCGGTCTAAAAGTGGCTCTCGGTCTAAAAGTGGCTCTCGGTCCAAAAGTGGCTCTCGGTCTAAAAGTGGCTCTTGGTCCAAAAGTGGTTCTTGGTCCAAAAGTGGCTCTTGGTCCAAAAGTGGCTCTTGGTCCAAAAGTGGCTCTCGGTCTAAAAGTGGCTCTCGGTCTAAAAGTGGCTCTCGGTCTAAAAGTGGCTCTCGGTCTAAAAGTGGCTCTCGGTCCAAAAGTGGCTCTTGGTCCAAAAGTGGCTCTCGGTCTAAAAGTGGCTCTCGGTCTAAAAGTGGCTCTTGGTCCAAAAGTGGCTCTTGGTCCAAAAGTGGCTCTTGGTCCAAAAGTGGCTCTTGGTCCAAAAGTGGCTCTCGGTCTAAAAGTGGCTCTCGGTCCAAAAGTGGTTCTCGGTCCAAAAGTGGCTCTTGGTCCAAAAGTGGCTCTCGGTCTAGAAGTGGCTCTTGGTCCAAAAGTGGCTCTCGGTCTAAAAGTGGCTCTCGGTCAAAAAGTGGCTCTCGGTCTAAAAGTGGCTCTCGGTCCAAAAGTGGTTCTTGGTTCAAAAGTGGTTCTTGGTCCAAAAGTGGCTCTTGGTCCAAAAGTGGCTCTTGGTCCAAAAGTGGCTCTCGGTCTAAAAGTGGCTCTCGGTCTAAAAGTGGCTCTCGGTCTAAAAGTGGCTCTTGGTCTAAAAGTGGCTCTTGGTCCAAAAGTGGCTCTTGGTCCAAAAGTGGCTCTCGGTCTAAAAGTGGCTCTCGGTCTAAAAGTGGCTCTCGGTCTAAAAGTGGCTCTTGGTCCAAAAGTGGCTTCGGTCTAAAAGTCGCTCTCGGTCTAACAGTGGCTCTTGGTCTAAAAGTGGCTCTCGGTCTAAAAGTGGCTCTCGGCCTAAAAGTGGCTCTCGGCCTAAAAGTGGCTCTCGGTCTAAAAGTGGCTCTTGGTCCAAAAGTGGCTCTTGGTCTAAAAGTGGCTCTCGGTCTAAAAGTGGCTCTCGGTCTAAAAGTGGCTCTCGGTCTAAAAGTGGCTCTCGGTCTAAAAGTGGCTCTTGGTCCAAAAGTGGCTCTTGGTTCCAGATGCTGTTGATGTTGATGGGAGTATATATATATTTTTGGACCAGTCTAGTTTAGCGGCTATGGACTTTTAAATGCACTTGTTAAATGAATGGGGCTAGTGCAGCTAACGCACAAATGTGTTTTTTCACATTTTCCTGCCCCTGCGGCCATTTTGAAAAAGCCACAGAAGACAAAAGTGATGTCACATTAGTTTGAACGACGGATATCGGCGTGACCACATCTGTTCATATTTACAGTCTACGGATCGTCCGTAGATCCTCGACCAAAGCCTCCAGGATCCTTCCAGACCAGCAGGAGGCAGTGTTTCATGTTTTCGTAACCAGGTTGTGTTTTGCAGCACGTGGAAGTACCTGGTGTTTGTGCACGCGAAGATCGGAGAGCTGAAGGTGAAGGACCTGAGCCTGAAGCTGCAGGGCGTGTCGGGGTTTCTCTTCCACCTGCAGCTGTGTGAGGGCCCCCAGCTCAAGCACCAGATCCTGCTGAAGGCCAACACTGAGTAAGCTTCCTGTCTCACACCTGTTCAGTGGCTCAGTCTGACCGCCGTGCATCCACAGGAGCGGGAAGCAGCGCTGGATCACTGCCATGTTCCCCTCGGACCCTCTGGAGGACATGGAGCAGGCCACGGACGACGGTTAGCAACTGTTTATTATTTCCATGTCTGACTCCACATTGAACCGTACTCATGTGTCTATGTTGGCCAAGGACATCCTGAAATGTCTTTTTAATGAACTTTTTTATTAACTTGAACTCCTAGACCTAGAGGGTCTACCTGCTCTGTTGTCATCTTATTCTGAGTGTTATTATGGGATGTATGGGTGGTCATGCAGCACATGCGTCAAATGCATTAACAAATTTTACGCAATAAATGAAAAAATCCGTGCCTTAACGTGATAATTGACAGCCCTAAAATGCAACAGTCCTTCAGGTCTCAGCAGCAGAGGTGGATCCTGGTTCAGACCATTCTCTCTGCTCTGGTCCAAAGTAAAATGCTAAATACTTCATTAGCATTTTTCATAAAGTTAGCATTCCTCCAGTTGATTTTCAACTGATCCACTTGGTTCGGACCATGAATCCTCTCTGCTCTGGTCTGGACCAGTGTAAAACCATGAATCCTCTCTGCTCTGGTCTGGACCAGTGTAAAACCATGAATCCTCTCTGCTCTGGTCTGGACCAGTGTAAAACCATGAATCCTCTCTGCTCTGGTCTGGACCAGTGTAAAATCATGAACACTGAACTGCAGCAACATCTCCGGCCGAAAAAAGCAAGACAAATAAAAATGTAAAACACAAAACAACAACAGTTTCAGAGACACTTTGGACTTGCTGCTGTTTTCCAGAACATTCAAATCTACCTTTTATTAAAGAATTATAAAAATACAAACGTTTTTGGTTCATACATTTATTCTGTTACAGCTTGAAGTCAGATTTGGTCCGTTGTACAGTGCAGTGAGGAGCCATAGATACTTATTGTTATTTGTGATTTCAGATATTTCCCAGGTCCAGTGCATCAAGAGCTATCAGGCCCAAGAGCACGACGAGCTGACGCTAGAGAAGGCCGACATTCTTCACGCCAAGACCATAACCAGTGACGGTGCGATTCCCATATTCTGTTTTGTTGGTAAATGCTTTCCAAATGTGCCTTTTTTACAAATACTGCATGTCTGTGTGATGGAAAACAGCCCGGCATAATCCAATAACTCTGGAAGCAATGAATGAACAATGGCCTTGGTTGAAAAGTTGAATTTGATTACAAAGTGCTGAAAATACGTTTGAAACTTCATCTGACCTAACCTGGCCTTACCACACCATAGTACTCAGATCATTTGGTACTAAGGTCTGACTGTGCTCCATTGACTCCGTTAACAGGTGGGAGGGGTTAACTCCTTTTGCAGATTGAAACCAATGGATCTGAGTTTACTGTGACGTATGTAATGTATCAGAGTGAGTCGTTAGCATTTAGCATTTAGCCTAGCTTTAGCCATCTCCTTTGCCGCTAACGGAGCCTGTGGGGAGTAGCGCCACAACCTTTGCCAGCGATTACATTTGCTAAATGTAAACTGAAACTCTTGCTCCGGTTTCAGTTTCTTGATAGAACCAGACCAGAATACTTTACTATCGCATTCTTCGCCAAACTACAACCTGCCCGTTCGACGCAAACTCTTGACGTCGCCGACATCTAACTACAACACCCGCCTCCCGCCCTCTCTGATTGGTCGGGTGGAATTCAACAGATTGTAATCTCAAACACAGGGACCAGACCCAGACGTTACATGCAGGACATGATGATTGACCATAGTGTACGGATGGATAAGACCAGGCGACCTCTGACCCCTCATACCCGACTGAACGGTGATGTTTTGTGTTTTCAGGCTGGGTGCAGGGGATCCGGCTGTCGGACGGAGAGCGGGGCTGGTTCCCCAAAGCCTACGTAGAAGAAATCACCAGCCGCAGTGCAAGACTTCGTAACCTCCGAGAAAACATCCGTATTAAGTGTGTGACGCAGAAGCTGCAGAGAGACTGACCTGGACAGGGTTTTTCTGTTTTTCTGTTTTAAGATGATTAGAGAATGTAGAGTTAGAACGGCTTCTGGACCACGGTCTTATTCCCTGGATGTTTTAGGACTCTGGAGTTATTCAAGACTAAAGACCTTTTATAAAGGTAATTATTATCAGCGTTAAGCTAGACTTCAAATCAAATACACATTTATTAAGTGGCTATAGTAGCTCGGTGTCAATCCAGAAGAGAAACCCCCCAAGTGTATAAACAATCCAGCAGAGAAACCCCCCAAGTGTCTAAACAATCCAGCAGAGAAACCCCCCTGTGTCTAAACAATCCAGCAGAGAAACCCCCCAAGTGTCTGAACGAGGAGGACATAAGTGCCACAGTCTCTCTCACATCAGGCTCTCTCACCTCAGTCTCTCACCTCAGTCTCTCTCACCACAGTCTCTCTCACCTCAGTTTCTCTCACCACAGACTCTCTCACCTCAGTCTCTCTCACCTCAGTCTCTCTCACCACAGTCTCTCTCACCTCAGTCTCTCTCACCTCAGTCTCTCACCAGTCTCTCTCACCTCAGTCACTCTCACCACAGTCTCTCTCACCTCAGTCTCTCTCACCTCAGTCTCTCTCACCACAGTCTCTCTCACCACAGTCTCTCTCACCTCAGTCTCTCTCACCTCAGTCTCTCTCACCACAGTCTCTCTCACCACAGTCTCTCTCACCTCAGTCTCTCACCTCAGTCTCTCTCACCTCAGTCTCTCTCACCTCAGTCTCTCTCACCACAGTCTCTCTCACCTCAGTCTCTCACCACAGTCTCTCTCACAAGTCTCTCACCTCAGTCTCTCTCACCACAGTCTCTCTCACCTCAGTCTCTCACCACAGTCTCTCTCACCACAGTCTCTCTCACCTCAGTCTCTCACCACAGTCTCTCTCACCTCAGTCTCTCTCACCACAGTCTCTCTCACCTCAGTCTCTCTCACCTCAGTCTCTCTCACCTCAGTCTCTCTCACCACAGTCTCTCTCACCACAGTCTCTCTCACCTCAGTCTCTCACCTCAGTCTCTCTCACCTCAGTCTCTCTCACCACAGTCTCTCTCACCTCAGTCTCTCTCACCACAGTCTCTCTCACCTCAGTCTCTCACCACAGTCTCTCTCACCTCAGTCTCTCTCACCTCAGTCTCTCTCACCTCAGTCTCTCTCACCTCAGTCTCTCACCACAGTCTCTCTCACCTCAGTCTCTCTCACCACAGTCTCTCTCACCTCAGTCTCTCTCACCTCAGTCTCTCTCACCTCAGTCTCTCTCACCACAGTCTCTCTCACCACAGTCTCTCTCACCTCAGTCTCTCACCACAGTCTCTCACCTCAGTCTCTCTCACCTCAGTCTCTCTCACCACAGTCTCTCTCACCTCAGTCTCTCACCACAGTCTCTCTCACCTCAGTCTCTCTCACCACAGTCTCTCTCACCTCAGTCTCTCTCACCTCAGTCTCTCTCACCTCAGTCTCTCTCACCACAGTCTCTCTCACAAGTCTCTCACCTCAGTCTCTCTCACCTCAGTCTCTCACCTCAGTCTCTCTCACCTCAGTCTCTCTCACCACAGTCTCTCTCACCTCAGTCTCTCTCACCTCAGTCTCTCTCACCTCAGTCTCTCTCACCTCAGTTTCACCTCAGTCTCTCTCACCTCAGTTTCACCTCAGTCTCTCTCACCTCAGTCTCTCTCACAAGTCTCTCACCTCAGTCTCTCTCACCTCAGTCTCTCTCACAAGTCTCTCACCTCTTTCTCTCTCACAAGTCTCTCACCTCAGTCTCTCTCACCACAGTCTCTCTCACCTCAGTCTCTCTCACAAGTCTCTCACCTCAGTCTCTCTCACCACAGCAGACTCTCTCACCACAGCAGTCTCTCTCACTACAGTCTCTCTCACCACAGTCTCTCACCTCAGTCTCTCTCACCTCAGTCTTTCTCACAAGTCTCTCACCTCAGTCTCTCTCACCACAGCAGACTCTCTCACCACAGCAGTCTCTCTCACTACAGTCTCTCTCACAGCAGACTCTCTCACCAGTCTCTCTCTCACAGCAGTCTCTCTCACAGCAGACTCTCTCACCACAGCAGTCTCTCTCACTACAGTCTCTCTCACCTCAGTCTCTCTCACAAGTCTCTCACCTCAGTCTCTCTCACCACAGCAGACTCTCTCACCTCAGTCTCTCTCACCACAGCAGTCTCTCTCACTACAGTCTCTCTCACCTCAGTCTCTCTCACCTCAGTCTCTCTCACCACAGTCTCTCTCACTACAGTCTCTCTCACCTCAGTCTCTCTCACCACAGCCTCTCTCACCTCAGTCTCTCTCACCTCAGTCTCTCTCACCACAGTCTCTCTCACTACAGTCTCTCTCACCTCAGTCTCTCTCACTACAGTCTCTCTCACAGCAGTCTCTCTCACTACAGTCTCTCTCACAGCAGACTCTCTCACCACAGCAGTCTCTCTCACATCAGTCTCTCTCACCACAGCAGACATGACACTCTCTCCTTCCCTGTAGTGGACATTATGTATAAATAACAGATTAATAATTTACTTTTATTTTATAATTTATATGAATTTGTTTTTCTTCTTGTTATTTCTTGTCGGACAAAGTCTGTTTAAAACATTTATAATATTTCAGGTTGCCATAGTTACACACACTGGAACAAAATATACTGTACATGTCTAACCACTGGAATAAAAACTTTTGTATTGAATAATTCTAACGTTGAGTCTATTCATAACAAGACATTTAAAGCACAGGTACCTAACTTCATGTTTTCACAAATGACTCGGGGAAAAGCCAATTCTGTCTGAAAAGTAGATCTAAAGACGTGAAAGAGGCTGAGAATTGTTTTAGCTTCAAAAGTCAGGTACCCCAGCTTTAAAAACACATTCTGATTATTATACCCAATTTGTCTCACACTTCACACAAAATCCTTTATTATTAAGAAATGTATTTACACACTATCTACATGCAAACATACGGAGGTCTGTGATTGGCTCAGCTGTGGCCGTGCTCGGAGATGATTGGCTCCTGGGATTCCGTTCGGCTTCGCTGCTTGGGTTTGATTGGCGGAGGGGCGGGTCTTATGCTGATGTAGCTGCTTCTATCAGGCTGTCAATCAATCACACACAGTTCCAGTCAGGTCACAGAGAAATGTTTTTACTTTTCTATAACGAGTCTTTGAAGTAAGTGTTATATTTATGGCAGATCTACGTGTGGGTCCTGCCGAGAATATTGAATTATGTGCATTAAAGAAGCTAATTAAATTCCTGAAGAAAGGAAGAATGTTGCCAATATATATGTGTGTGTTCACGGTAAAATATCTGGACTTTCAAAGGTTTTAACTAAAAAACTAAAATGACTTTCATAGATTAGAAAAAAATATTTTAAACAAACGGATCAGAGAGATGATGTGGATAAAATCAAAAGGAAAGATTTTAAACTGCCTCTGATTGGATCATTCTGTGACTCAGAGAAAGAAAATAAAATGTCCTCAGTCTGAAAAAGCAGAAGATTAAATCCCACAAGACTATTATATTATATATTATAATGTTGTATATTATATAACATTAACAACATCAGGAAATCACTTGATTTGAAAAAGGAATCATTTAAAAAAGAAAAATCAATAAAAATGTAAATGACCCTTGAAAAATTTGTAACGGACGTGATTTTTCCCTCAATTTTTCTCTATATATTGAGAGAAACCATATTGTCTGGTTTCATATTTCATTAGTTTACTTTATGAAATAATCACTGTGTCTCTGTCTTAGACTGTATATGTTAACGGACGTAGTCACGCCCATCTCCGCCGTTCTAACTAATGGGCCAAAGATTGGGCTTTCATCATGGAGTGATTCAAAATGGCCGCGGGGGCTGGAAAATGTGAAAAAACGCATCTGTGCATGCGTCAGCTGCACGAGCCCCATTCATTTAAACGAGTGACTTCAAAAATTCACAGCAACTAAACTAGACTGGTCCAGAACACTCAGCATTGACACACATGTGGGACGGAGCTTTGGGCCAAGAGACAACTTTTGGTCCATCCTGTAAAGACGTTTTCAAGAGGTCTGCCAATGCTATATGTTAGCATTGGCTAATTCTTATTCCGGGTCCACCCCCACAGGCCCGGGGTGGTATTGCAGCATGTCAGCTCAAAACCCCTTTTGAGCCGGGACCCTCCCCCACTGGTTTCTACTCTGTGTAAAATAATAATCTCTGAATTAAATGTGGAGGTGAAAATATGAAAACGATAAGGTTCGTTACATAAAATAAACATTAACCGCTTTAGGAAACTTGACTCATTTATAAAACAGCTTTGTTCTAGCATCTTCTACTGAACAGAGATGGATTTGGAAACATGAAAAACATATATCTGCTGATCATTAAACTCACATTTTTGGCCTTTTTTCACACTTCTCTACCTTCAGTGTGAACAGACCCATGTGAGAGTAATGAGCTTACACTGGGTAACAAAAAAATATGTTTTGAAAATAGTCCAGGGTTTTCAGCTGAATTAGACTAATGTTGATGCTCTGAGTCTGAAAATGACCTTGGTTTTTTTCAATCAGGTCCGGATTTTTTGCTACAGAAATATTTGTTTTAATCGGTTTTGCGTAAAAAACACATTTCTGCGGATCATCAGCTGAGAAACCCTTGACGTTTTGTCCGTTTTCCTCAAAAAATAAAAGTCAACGTATCCAAAGTCATTCAGTTTTTATTTACTCCATCAAATTTGATAAGCAGAATTCATAATAACGTAGACATAATCCGTAACACTATGGCTGTGTCTCACAAAGTTGACCTGATAGAGCAAAATGCATGTGATATTCAGACTCAGAACACCAACATTAGTCTGAATCAGCTGAGAAACCCCTGACCATTTTTTGGCGGTCAACTTGTGTAATCGTTCCCTTTTGAACTCCCACAATCCCATGTTTGCCGGCGTTACCTGCTGGAGGTGAAACATCCAGGTCTGGTAGTCCTGGAGAGAGGAACACGACACCTGCAGCGGCTCCACAAACTCTCCTAAAACACCACAGAACAGAACAAACATTCACTGAAACTAAAATAATCCTGAGAAGTTACTGCAAACGCCAAACACATTCTGGAATCTTGAAGTCCCCTGCTTACATTAGATCAGTGTCTCCCAAAGTGGGGTCCGCGGCCCCCTGGTGGGCCGCGAGGGTACTGCAGGGGGGCCGCGGGAGGTCATAAAAAAAAAAAAAAAAATAATATAATTATTTAATGTTAAATTTATAATGTTTTGTTTGTAATATTAAAATATTTGTGTTCATTATTTGACTTGAATAATCCACTGTAATCATTTTTGTATTACAATGTTTGTAGCAGAGGCTATTTCCCCAAAATAAAATAACCAGAAGAGCCTATTCTTAATGTTGTCTTCTTGGTTATTATTTTGGGGGGCCACGCAGACCCGTCAGATTTTTAAGGGGGCCTCGGTGTTACTGAGTTTGGGAATGGCTGCATTAGATACATTCTGCATTGTTTTTTGGTCATTAAAGGTGATGATGAGACCGATTTTTGCCAATAATTGAATGGATTAGGATGTGGAACTATGTCTGAAGTAGAGAATATATGATGAGACAAGAATCAAGGGTGAAAAAGGGTGAACTATTCAGATTCAGACTGCAGTATTTATCCCACCTCGTTTGAGCAGCACATCACACATAAAATAAAAAATAACATTAAAAACACTGGAAATAAATGATATGACATAAAGTGTAGCCCCATACAAACATATAACACAACAATAAAACATCAAAGTCCACATTACTGCCGAGCTACAGAGAGTTCAGCGGTTTTATAAACATATTTCAAAGAATATATTGACTATAAATGTCATGTGCTTGAAGATTTATGTGAAAATTCTGCCAAAATCAATTTTTAGAGGAGGTAGTGTTGCTTCAAATAGAAAAAAAACTGCTCTGATGTCATAGTAGCCTGGTCTTATCCATCCGTTCACTCAGGTCAATCATCATGTCCTGCATGTAGCGTCTGGGTCTGGTCCCTGTGTTTGTGATTACGATCGGTTGAATTCCATCCGACCAATCAGAGAGCGCGGGAGGCGGGTGTTGTAGTTAGATGTGGGTGACGTCAAGAGTTTGCGTCGAACGGGCAGGTTGTAGTTTGGCGAAGAATGTGTTAGTAAAGTATTCTGGTCTGGTTCTGTCAAGAAACTGAAGCCGGAGCAAGAGGAATGTTTAGCAAATGTAATCGCTGGTAAAGATTGTGGCACTACTCCCCACGGGCTCTGTTAGCGACAAAGGAGATGGCTAAAGCTAGGCTAAATGCTAACGACTCACTCCGGCGCATTACATACGTCACAGTAAACTCAGATCCAATGGTTTCAATCTGCAAAAGGAGTTAGCCCCTCCCACCTGTTAACGGAGTCAATGGAGCAAATCCAGACCTTAGTACCAAATGAGATGTGTACTATGGTGTGGTACGACCAGGCTAATGTCATAGTGGTACAATGGTATCTTTCTAATACAGGACTGAGACAGGACTATTAAACAGAAGGGGCGGAGCTACATGTTTGTGCCAGAAGAATCTAAAAACAACTGAAGGTCTTCAAGTAATGTTTCCTTTTAAAACAAATTAATATCTAAAATTGTAAATACATAAATAGACAAATAAAACCAAAGTGCACAAAGAAAACACCTCAGATGCTTCCAGGACAAACAGTCCAATCCCAGACTTGGATCCTGCATCGTTCTCTGTCTCTGTGGATATTTCTGTGTTGATGTTTTTGTGGATGAGTGAGTACCTGTGAGTTCAAACTGCAGTCGTCCGGGCAGAGCAGAGCGCTCCACTGCCCTGATGCCGTGTCGGGCCAGTCTCCCCTGGGGCAGAGTCACCAAGAGAAAGAGGCATTAATGAAGCATATGTAGATTTAGGACATGAGGGCGAGGGTATTTACCACACTATTGATCCAAAATACCTGAATAATAAAAATAAAAAACAGGCCAGTTGATCTCCTGAGTCAAGTCATCATTAAAGGGCCCTAATATGTTGTCATTAAAGGGCCCTAATCTGTCGTCATTAAAGGGCCTTAATCTGTCATCATTAAAGGGCCCTAATCTGTCGTCATTAAAGGGCCCTAATCTGTCATCATTAAAGGGCCCTAATCTGTCGTCATTAAAGGGCCCTAGTCTGTCGTCATTAAAGGGCCCTAATCTGTCGTCATTAAAGGGCCTTAATCTGTCATCATTAAAGGGCCCTAATCTGTCGTCATTAAAGGGCCCTAATCTGTCGTCATTAAAGGGCCCTAATCTGTCGTCATTAAAGGGCCCTAATCTGTCGTCATTAAAGGGCCCTAATCTGTCATCATTAAAGGACCGTAATCTGTCATAATTAAAGGGCCCTAATCTGTCGTAATTAAAGGGCCCTAATCTGTCATCATTAAAGGGCCCTAATCTGTCATCATTAAAGGGCCCTAATCTGTTGTAATTAAAGGGCCCTAATATGTCATAATTAAAGGGCCCTAATCTGTCGTAATTAAAGGGCCCTAATCTGTTGTCATTAAAGGGCCCTAATCTGTCATCACTAAAGGGCCCTAATCTGTCATCACTAAAGGGCCCTAATCTGTCGTCATTAAAGGGCCCTAATCTGTCGTTATTAAAGGGCCATAATCTGTCATCAATAAAGGGCCCTAATCTGTCGTCATTAAAGGGCTCTAAAATAACAAATGTAAACCACTTTGTGACTCTGGTCTGTGAAAGGCGGTATATAAATAAAGATTACTTACTTACTTGTTTTGTCATCATTAAAGGGCCCTAATCTGTCCAAAGGCATTAATAAAAAATGTTCTTTTCCAATACTTCTTTAACTGATAACAGTAGTTCAGAGATATTTGAATTTCTAAATTAGTTTTACAGCCTCTAAATCTTGTTATTGTAGCCAGAATTCATCGCGTTGAGCTAATCTCACTGGTAAAGTACCATGTGGCGCAGAACTAAAAAAGGTCTCGTTATGATTCTCAAATCATTAACGACAAAACAAGGAATAAAACCAGGATTTTTATCTTTGTGAAAAAGGTGTTGGTTATAGATTTGTTGTTGACTAAACTCTTGTCTATTCAGCTGTTATGGTCCCAGCTGGATTCGTCTGCATATCTGGCAACCTGAGTCAGGGAGAGTGGGAGAGGCTGCAGTACCACTTTTGGCCACATTTTTACACACTGCTCCTTTAAATTGTGCTTTTCTTTAAATGCAGTATTGTAGAAAGTATGGTTGAAGAAGAGATGCTTTGTACCAGCAGCCCCTGAGCAGGTTCCCTAACCCCTCCCTTTCTGATGAAGGAAAGTATTTTTTCCCAAAACGTCACAAATTGTAGCACAAATAAAATACTTCCTTGGGAGCTCCAGCCGTGCCGAGTCATCTCCATTTTTTAATCTGTTATTTTTGACTTTCTGACACTGCTCAGGTTTGGAGTCATAATAAAATAACTCAGCCTTCATTCTTCACTTTCTCTCATTACAAACATTCACAATAATCTCTGGAATACCGAACGCTCACCTCGTATCGAAGAGAAGTCCTCTGGTTGTCCAGGGAGAGCAGAAGCACATCCTGACAGAACAGGACCATAAGTCTCTCCTGAAGACCCTGACAGAACATACACATTCAACCCAAAAATCAAAAATCAGGGAAAAAAATCCATTTGAATGACAGGTAAAATCTGATATTTTGGGGAAAATGATCGTATGAGGTGGTAATATACAATCCTGGCTAATTGACTTTTTGAGAGAGACCTTCACAAGCAATGCATGCTGGGATGTTGTAGATTTGCAACATTATTAGAGGTTGGTCTTGATACTGCCTTGAAATTGAAACTAAGACTAACATTTTGGAAGTGAGACAGCAGCGCCCTCTGGTGGACAACTGTGTGTCCAGCAGTGGTTCAAAAAGGGTGTGGAGTAGTTGAGAGTCAGACTATGAGAAATTAAGTTGTTGCAAGTCTGCAACGCCTCTGGGGAGGGTTAATCCATGGAGAAAGCAATGTATTCATTCTTTTTTTTTTTCAACCAAATTTTTTTAATTTATTAGAGGCCTTTACCAAATGGTTGGGATGCAGTTTGATGGTAAAAGTGCCTATAACCATGTGAGAACCTCTGTATGTGTAGTATCCTATTATCTCTGTTTTTTATAGCGTAAATGTGCACATATTCACAGATATGTAACACCTATATCCAGATTGTTCTTTTCTCACAATATTATCATGTTATCATTTTTATTTCCAGATTGTTACTTTACTGTTTTTGTTATTTTTTATTGTGGAATACAATGCAAGCTACTGTGACAATGCACTTTCTAAGGCTTGTTTCGGTTTCAAGCTTTCTTCCTCCTCCTTAATCAAATAGCTGGTTTGACTGATAAATAATGTGCAGTTAAAGACATATTTATAGATTGTAAGAATGTATTTTGTGCAGAAGTCAGGGCTGAGAGCTAAAAGCAGACCCTGGAATTCACACAATAATCATGTGGAGCAAGACAAACACATCTATGAGTCGGCTCTGTGCCTCTGAGTGACGTGTGCTGAAGATGGGGACGATTTGAGCTGGTTTCCCAAAAAGGACATTAGTTAATTTAACTCAACAACCCCGCCCTGGTGTTTTTAAAAGTGTGTAAAAAAAAAACGTCTGCAACTCTGTGTGAGACAAACGGCCTGCAGGGTCCGAGCCTGATGCCTGCACATGTGTTCATAGAGACTGTCCATCTTAATTATTTCAGGTAAAACACTTATGACCAGTATTTTGTCAAAGCATTTACAAGATAAGATATTCCTTTTTTTCCCTCAACGTCATTGTTGCACTTTACAGCAGATAAAGAAGAAGGACATAAGAGCACACTGAGGTTGTACACATCAAACCGGGTCAATTATTTAATGTAATGCAATAAAAATAAAAAGTTATAGGATGATAAAATAGAATAAAATAACAATAAAAATCAGCCATTTTCCTGATGAAGGTCTCAGGGCCAAAAAACTTAACATTTTCCAAAAAATGCAGTGTGTGGGAACCATTATTCTTATTCTTGAGCACCGGGACTCTCTTCTCCTCTCCTACACAACCATAAGATAAAAAATACAGTCTGTGCAGGATATAATTATGTACAATAAAAAGTAGCAATAGCAGTGCATTATTTCATAGACGACACTCTATTCATGAATAAATACACCATAAATATACTATAAATACACTATAAATATACCATAAATATACTCTAAATATACTATAAATATACTCTAAATATACTCTAAATATACTAGCATGTTTTTACTGTGCTGTAGCACCTGGAGATGTGCATCGCATATGTAAGATGGGTTATGAATAAAACCTATTATTATTATTATTATTATTATTATTATTATTATGGTGTTGTGGAGTCACCTGTCTGTGTGAGTGGTTGATGTGGACCAGAGAGAGGTAGGAGAGCGCCCCCATGTGTTGGATGGGGGGACCTTCCCACTGCCAGATGGGAGCATGGAGCAGGTACTTTTCCAGTTCTTCCCGTTTCCACTTCTCATCACAAGGAAACTGAAGCAGAAAGATAGTCTTGTTTATGGATCCTGAAGAATGTCTTAGGAGACACTGGAGAGAAGGAGGTTCAGTCCATGATAAACTGGATCAAATCTAACTTCAAGCGGAAATAAAATAAATGTATGAACCAAAAATGATTGCCTTTAAAAACTTTTGGGACACAATTGCTTTCATTAAGGACATGGTTTACTTTTGAATGAGCTGGAAATAGGCCTGTCGCGGTATTCAATAAATCAATTAATCGCATGATAATGAAAATTAGCTCAATGATTTTTCTGGCCGTAGTAAATGCCATTTGCAGCTCGTTTGTTTTCCTCGTCTCTCTCTCTCGGTCTAGCGAGCAGACTGAAAATACTTAAAAATACAAAATACAGCCAAAAGAGGTTTGTTTCTCTTTGAAAAGGTGTACCTGCATTATCATAGTATTCGATGAAAATGATCTCAGAACGACAATATTATCTTGTATCGCAATCATTTCTGAGACAATTTCTCTTCCAGATAAATGTGTCATTGTGACAGGCCTAACCTCTAAACGGCAGAAAGTCCTAAGTGTCGTGTTGGAGGTTTGTGACTGGAAGAATAACCAGGACAGAAACTGTTTGATGACAAATGTTTGGGGCTAAAACTAGAATCAATCTATAATTATACATTATATAAAAAAATATGATTCAATAAATGCAGACAAACTGGTGTTTTGGACGTAACACTTTGTCCACTTGTTACGTCCAAAACATCTGCAGCTGTTCATATTACAGACGTGACTCTGTGTTTAAGTAGTGCGCCCTCCACTGGACAAACAAGGAACTACACAAGCGTCTGAGAACATTCAGAAGTAACGACCGCAGATATTTCAGGACTTTTTCATGTCATTGACCCAAAAATAACACATCAGAACAGTTTAGTTTTGCGTGTGGGCCGAGCCAGTACCAGATAGGACAGTATGCAGTGGGCCGGGCTCGGGGGGAGTGTCATAGACTTCTGCTTTCTTTCCTCAATCAGTTGTTTCCATGTGTGTAGTTCGGCAGCGGTGGCACAGACAAATACTTTGGGCTCTACAACAGGACCTGCACAGAGGCACAACAACACAACCCCTTTAAGAGTCAACACAACACCTTTAAGAGTCACTTTATACGTGTGTGTTCACAGTAAAGTATCAATGAAAGTATCTGACTTTCAAAGGTTAGAACTCAAAAACTAAAATGACTTTCATAGATTTGAAATAATGTTTAAAACACAGACAGATCAAAGAGACAGTGTGGATAAAATCAAAAGAAAAGATTGACAAATATATTTTTGGTGACATTTAAAACCACCAGATCAGCCTCTGATTGGATCATTCTGTGACTCAGAGACAGAAAATAAAATGTCCTCAGTCTGAAAAAGCAGCAGATTAAATCCCACAAGATTCACATGAACAACATCAAGAAATAACTTTATTTTTAAAATCAAATATTAATTAAAAAAAAAAAATCAATAAAAATGTAACCGACCCTTAAAACGTGTAACAGACGTGATGGTTTCCCTCAATTCTTCTCTAATAATTAAACACATTTTTAGTAATCACTTTGTTTCTACTCAAAAAAGAAACAATCTATGAATCAAATGTGGATCTGAAACTATGTAACGAACTTCATTCAAAGCATCAGGTTCGTTACATAAAATAAACATTAACCGCTTTAGAAAACTTGACTAATTTATAAAACTGTTTTGTTCTAGACACTTCTACTGGACACAGAGGGATTTGGAAACATGACAGACACAATTTATCTTCTGATTTCTTCTGAAGTCAAATGTTTGCAAAGTCCAAAGTGACTCACTGCTGAGCTGAAAGGTGTGAGGCGGCAGAGAGGAGTCCCGGGACACGGGGGTGAAAGACACGCCCGACACAGGAAGGATGCCCTGCCACAGACACACACATCTGAGTTTATGAACTACACAAACCATACTTGTCCAAACTTTTGACCGTTTGGGACTCAGGCAGATCATTATAATCATCATCTCGACTCCTGGAAGTACCAATGACTATAGGTACAAACCATGGATCTATAATAATAACGGTACAAACGTTGGTTGTGTTGTAAAGGACTCTGTGAATAAAACTGATTGATATGTCCTGCATTCTGTTCTGCCATGTGTCCTATTAGCACACTTCAGAGACCAGAGAGAGAGACCAGAGAGACCAGAAAGACCAGAGAGACCAGAGAGAGAGAGACCAGAGAGACCAGAGAGACCAGAAAGACCAGAAAGACCAGAGAGACCAGAGAGAGAGAGACCAGAGAGAGAGAGACCAGAGAGACCAGAGAGAGAGACCAGAAAGAGAGAGACCAGAGAGACCATAGAGAGAGAGACCAGAGAGACCAGAGAGACCAGAAAGACCAGAGAGACTAGAGAGACCAGAGAGACCAGAGAGACCAGAGAGAGAGAGACCAGAGAGACCAGAGAGAGAGAGACCTGAGAGAGACCAGAGAGAGACCTGAGAGAGACCAGAGAGAGAGAGACCAGAGAGACCAGAAAGACCAGAGAGACCAGAGAGACCAGAGAGAGAGAGACCAGAAAGACCAGAGAGAGAGAGACCAGAGAGACCAGAGAGAGAGAGACCAGAGAGACCAGAAAGACCAGAGAGAGAGAGACCAGAGAGAGAGAGACCAGAGAGACCAGAAAGACCAGAGAGAGAGAGACCAGAGAGAGAGAGACCAGAGAGAGACCTGCGAGAGACCAGAGAGAGAGAGACCAGAGAGAGAGACCAGAGAGAGACCTGAGAGAGAGAGACCAGAGAGAGAGAGACCTGAGAGAGAGAGACCAGAGAGAGAGAGACCAGAGAGAGAGACCAGAGAGAGAGACCTGAGAGAGAGACCAGAGAGAGAGACCAGAGAGAGAGAGACCAGAGAGAGACCTGAGAGAGAGAGACCAGAGAGAGACCTGAGAGAGAGAGACCAGAGAGAGAGACCAGAGAGAGGCCAAAGAGAGAGACCAGAGAGAGACTAGAGAGAGGGACCAGAGAGAGACTAGAGAGACCAGAGAGACCAGAGAGAGACTAGAGAGAGGGACCAGAGAGACCAGAGAGAGACCAGAGAGAGAGACCAGAGAAAGACACGTCACACACACCGACTGACGTCAGTCCAGAGCCAATGAGAGGGCAGGACAGAATTTAAATGTAGTACCACCAAAAAGGTAGAGAGGGCGCCACACAGACGGTTTTAGGCTCAAAAGTGAAATTTAAACTAATTTTCACTAAAATGTCAAACAAAAAATGACCAGAACATGTAGAGAGCACTATAAGAAACATATTTATGATTTAAAAAAAAAAAGTTGGTGTTTAGCTGTCCTCATTGTGTCCCATTGACGCACAAATACGTCAAAGCAAATAGTAACGTCATGTGCCATTGACGCATTAATCCGTCAATTGCCTTTTTCGCTATTTTCACGTTCCCAGATGTCTATTGTATCTAATATGTATGGGGATGACTTGAGACCATATTTTATCGAGCCAGCAGGTGGCAGCATTTCTCTCTGAATGGTTTGAAAACATGTAGGTGCCAATGTTATGCCTCTTTTTTCTCAACTTTCTGGTGATTTCTGGTGATTTCAGTAAAACTTCCCTCTACTCGACGGAGGATTACAGGGGAACAAAAAAAGCTATAAACAAAATTCTTTTTGCTGAGGAAAGTAGACAGTCCATTCTTTTAGAATCTGGTGTCGGATTTCAGATAGTCATAGTACACAATATTCTGTGGGTCTTGAAAAATCAGTAAAAATCATCAGAAATGGCTGGCACTGTGGGAGTACCTGTTCTGAAATAGGCTGGCATTCAATGAGTTTTTAAAGACTGGATTTTGAATGTCACATGGTTATTCTATTGTACCTGGTAAACAAACTCCTGCGCAGAGTGGTCCAAAGACAACAGCAGCAGGTGATGGGAAAACAGCACCACACAATATTCTGTGGTTTCCTACAGGAGAAGAAGAGATTGTTATCATTTTAGTATCGCTAATATAACTTTTATGTATTTATTCCACAGAGTCTGACCTGAGTATATTTGCTGTAGAGGGACAAGAGAGAGGAGTGCAGGATGTCTCCGTACTGGTGCACAGGCTGACCCTCCCAGCCTCGGATCACTGGCAGAGAGAGAATCCTGTGCTGCAACTGGTCTCTGCTCAGGCCCCACAGCGCCCCCTGCAGGCAAACATTCAGAAACAGCATCAGACTCTTGAGAGCAGACAATAGGCAGAAGAAAAGACTGATATTGAGTGTCATGTAAAGTGTGAATCATCAAACTAGAAAGGTCTGCCTTCTTTATTTTAGGATCTCTCTTCCTAAAATATTGACTGTGCCATGAATCAGACTCATAGGTGCGATAGTCAGTCATTCAGTATGTCAGTAAGTAAATAAGTCAGTTTGTCACACACCTATCTCTCTCCACACAGAGATGGAGCAACCACCTACAGGGGGCTCATGCCAGACCTACTGTACATGTTTTTAATGGCAGGGGAAACCATAGCACCCGGAGGAAACCTACGCAGACACGGGGAGAACATGCAAACTCCACTCTGAAAGGCCCTGTTCCGACCGGGATTCAAACCGAGACCTCTCAACCTAAATGCAGCCCAATAATGTGAGTCAGGGTCGTCTTACCTCTTGCAGCAGCTGTGGAGATGAAGGATAACGAGGCGGGGGTCGGGCTGGGGGGGACACGGTGGGTCGGGCTGGGGGGGACACCGGGGGTCGGGTTGGGGGGGACACGGTGGGTCGGGCTGGGGGAGACACTGGGGGCCGGGCTGGGGGGGACACGGGAGGTTCATCGCTACAGGACTTCAGCTGAAGGCGGCTGTCTCCCAAACTCCAGACTCTGAAACAACACAAACTCACTTCAGACCTTTTTACCTGTTGACTTTAAACATTTACTCGTTTAGGTTGTTTACAATAGATTTTCATGTCCAGTTATCATTAAAGGGCCCTAATCTGTCATCATTAAAGGGCCCTAATCTGTCATAATTAAAGGGCCCTAATCTGTCATCATCAAAGGGCCCTAATCTGTCATCATTAAAGGGCCCTAATCTGTCATCATTAAAGGGCCCTAATCTGTCATCCTTAAAGGGCCCTAATCTGTCATAATTAAAGGGCCCTAATCTGTCATCATTAAAGGGCCCTAATCTGTCATCATTAAAGGGCCCTAATCTGTCATCATTAAAGGGCCCTAATCTGTCATCCTTAAAGGGCCCTAATCTGTCATCATTAAAGGGCCCTAATCTGTCATCATTAAAGGGCCCTAATCTGTCATCATTAAAAGGCCCTAATCTGTCATCATTAAAGGGCCCTAATCTGTCATCATTAAAGGGCCCTAATCTGTCATCATTAAAGGGCCATAATCTGTCATAATTAAAGGGCCCTAATCTGTCATAATTAAAGGGCCCTAATCTGTCATCATCAAAGGGCCCTAATCTGTCATCATTAAAGGGCCCTACTCCGTCCAAAGGCATTAAAGCTGCACTAACTGACTTTATTTTTGTATTCATTACGAAAATGCTATCCATGTCCATGTAGTGCATTGGGATATACGTCCTTTTGAAGAATAATTAGCGCAGATTTGTGCTGGCGTGACATTATATTTTAGATCGAGTTTTGATACAAGGAAGAGAATGTGTTTCGGGTTGCAGATTGTGACCAATCACAGCGGACCACTTGCCCCCACTTTCGTGAGAAATATACAGTCTAGACGGCTGAGTTAGCACAACAAGCCGAGGAGCTAAGCTGAAACTTCCTCGTCTTCATCACCGTTACTGCTTACACAGCGAGACAGCCTTCCAATAGAAAGTCCCATTCCTCCGCGCTTCCCGGTTCTATTGTTCTATGGTCACGCCATCCACGTGCAAATCCATGTCCATGTTTTATCCATATTGGGAGACGCTAGCTCCTCAATAACAGTGGGTGTGTGTGGGGGCGATAGCTTCGTGGGTGCGGGGAGGGGAGCAGAAAGAGTGAGGCCAGCGAGTCCGCGGCTTCAAAATCCCAAAGTCAGTTAGTGCAGCTTTAATAAAACATGCTCTTTTCCAATACTTCTTTAACTGATAACAGTAGTTCAGAGATATTTGAATTTCAAAGTTAGTTTTCCAGCCTCTAAATCTTGTTATTGTTTTCATTTCGATGTCCCGCCTTCCACCGTTTCACCAATCAGAAAGTCTGTGATCCAGGCGCCCAAACTCACCGCGTGGAGCTAATCTCACTGGTAAAGTACCATGTGGCGCAGAACTAAAAAAGGTCTCGTTATGATTCTCAAATCATTAACGACAAAACAAGGAAATAAAACCAGGATTTTTATCTGTGTGAAAAGGTGTTGGTTATAGATTTGTTGTTGACAAAACTCTTGTCTATTCAGCTGTTATGGTCCCAGCTGGATTCGTCTGCATATCTGGCAACCTGAGTCAGGGAGAGTGGGAGAGGCTGCAGTACCACTTTTGGTACTGCAGCCTAACTACTGTTATCAGTTAAAAAATTTTTTGAAAAACAACATGTTTTTTTAATGCCTTTGGACAGATTAGGGCCCTTTAATGATGACAGATTAGGGCCCTTTAATGATGACTTTACATGAAAATCTAACATATTACTACTTTAAGATCCAATATATAAACTGTATTGATAGAATCAGGTTGTGCAGAAAGTCAGGAAGTGTGAAACACGTCAAGAGGTTCAAATTGAGTCTCTTTTGTGCTATATTATGTAAAAAGAGAGATTTTCAGTCCTAGTGCAGGTCATAATATAGTTTTAATATTCTTGAAAGCATAAGAAAAAGAGGGTAATGTCTTCTCCTTTGTACGTCAACAAACAAACAAAGCAGTCCCCAAAACCATCTTAGATCTGCAGATGATTGTGTGTCTTTCAGATTCTGTGATTTAAACGCTAACATTATCGCGGACACAGAAGTGATTAGCCTGAGACCAAACCGACTCCCGCCACGGTCTCGTTCTAATCCCCTAATCACATCACTGCAGCATCACCGCACCCCACTTTATAGCAGACAACTCCTCCATCTGCTCCCTACACTGCAAAAAGACTAATAATATGAGGTGATAAACGCTTGAATTAGGTCTTTTTATCTTCATTTCAGGGTTTGTGCAGCATTTTAAGTGTAAAATTAAAGCACTTTCAAGGTAAAATGGGGACTAATAATAACTGTATTATAACACGCTGTGACCCAGACTGGGAGTCGAACTAATTTTTTTTAAAGTACTGAATGTCATTTATTGCAGCCTAAAGTCCTGATGTTATGTTAAAAATCAAGCATTTTCAAGCAAACGGTTAAACATAATTCCATACCTTAAAAACACATTGTTAAAATTCAATCTTTTTCCCGACTTTGTACGAACTCGGTGATTTTTAACTTCTCATTTCAAGAGCTGTCACAATTTTAGTCTCATTCCAAGGAAGACATTTCTGGAATTTTTTGTATATTTTTAAAAGGCGACATTTTAAATCATCAAATTAATTAACTACTTGATTTATTACCATGATTTATTACCATTAATATTTTATACATTTTTTGCAGTGTAGTAGCTAATAACAAACACATTTAGCAGGAGATGAAGCCAAATCCAGTCTGTGCCTGAAAACATCCAGAAACAAAACCACCAAATTCTACACATTATCATTAGAATTATGATTTTAAATTAATATTAGCATTTAACTAAAAAATTTAACTGTCATTTCTCCGACATCTTCTTACCTAAAATATAAACTCTTACTTGTTTTGCTGCTTTTAACAGACTTTTAAGTATTTTAGTTTTATAGAATGAAGTGAATTATGTCAATATATCAAGAATTAAATGGTGGTTATTCAAAGAGTGCACATGGATAATGGTGTCACCGTTAGAGCGGGATTTAATGAAGTTACAGAAAAATATATTTATTTACAGAATCATTTTTCTCTTAAGGATTTACATTCACCAAAGATTAATTGTATATTTGTCATTTAGATTATAATATTTAAATTTCAAGCTGAACTTTGGGGAAAAAATAATAATTAAATAACTAATTGTTTTGTAGAAGGAAGTCGCACAAACCAAAGGTATAGTTTTTATTTCAGAGCCATCGCTAGATTTTATTCTAATGTAACCATATTTTTAACCCTTTATTGTTCACTTCTTGGAAAAATCAACGTACTTTTTTCTTGTTTTGATTTTCTAAGATGTAGGAGCACTAATAACATTAGTTTTTTTACCCCTAATTCTTTAAAAGTGCCTAAAACCAAGTGGTAGAGACGCCCCAATGAGGAAGGTAATAAAAAAAATAATAAAAATGATAATAATATTAATAACAATAATAATAATGAAAATAATATTAATAACAATAATAACAATGATAATAATATTAATAACAATAATAATAATGATAATAATATTAATGAAAATAATAATAACAATAATAATAATGACAATAATATCAATAAAATAATAAAAATGATAATAATGACAATAATAATAATAACAATAATAATAACGATAATAATAATAATAACAATGATAATTGTGGACTCACCACCTGCAGAGGGTCAGTGAGGGGCTGGTGCTATGAGACTTGGGTGGCATCTCTGACTGCCACCCCCCTGACCCAGAAATGGATTAAAGGGTAGAAAATGGATGGATGGATGGATGGATGGATAATAACGATAATAATAATAATCCAGGAAGCCTCAAAGTGCTAAAGATTAAAGGTGTCATTTCCAATTTTTGAGCTTATATATTAGATCAGGGGTCTCCAACCTTCTTCAATCAGAGAGCTACTTTTATACATAAAAAGAGGCAGAGAGCTACTCCTGTTTGCAGTCGTAATAAAATCTATCTAAATCTATCCATGAAACATGGAAAACACATGTAAAATATACCATAATACTGTATAACTCTGTGTTTATACTGTTTATACACATGTGATGACTCAAAATGAAAATCCTTTGTAAAATTCTAAATGTTTTTGGGAGCTACCAGAGAGGGGCTGGGGAGCTACTGGTTGGAGATCCCTGGAATAGATAATAGATATAGATATAGATCAGGGGTGTTAAAGTCATTGTGGTCAGGGGCTGATTATAAAAATAGGAACTGGAGATTTCCTTTTCTTATTATAGTTTTTACATTATGAAGATATTTGAACATGACTTTAATGTGACATGAGTTTCACTGTTATTTTCTGGTTTATTTTTCTGAAAACAACCAAAACTGGATCAAATATAAAGTTAAACACATTTTATATTGAACTATTTAACTTCTATGTGTTTTTGGGTTAAAATGTTAGAATACATTACATTTGGTTGTTTTCCTGAGAATATATATGATTTATAACCTGCCTTGATCGCCCTTAACCATCAAAGCTGCAAGTTAAAAAATAATAACAAATAATTCTAAGGGCCACTAAAAACTGTCTTACGGACCAGATCAAAGCCTCGACTTTGACACCCATGATAAAGTGACTCAAAAAGTGATTCACCAAATGTTTGAGGAAACTATTAAAGGGTTTAGCCATATTTTTTTTTAGATCAGAGAGAAAATACATTCAAGTTAAAATGTGTTTGTTAGGGTTTGATTTATTCACAAACATTACTTCAACCACACAAGTTAGACTCTCCAGCTTTAAAAACCCAAACAAAAACTTTTGCATTTTGTCTCTCTGCTGTAATGTGCAGCAATGACACTGACATATCTCCACTGTGGGATTAATAAAGAAATATCTTATCTAATCTTATCTTACCCCTGGGTCTCTGCCGGCAGTTCAAGCAGCTCGATCTCGTCTGGGCCCACCTCGTCCACACCGCAGTGCCTCTGGGTCACGCTGCAGCAGCCCATGATGACCGTCCTGAGCTCAGACTGACCACCATCTGCCCTGGACCTCACCCACACCGGACTCACCCCAACAGCGCCCGGCCAAAAAGGATGAAGGAGGGAGGGGTGCTGCTAATCTTCAGTTCCCTCTTTTCAAAACGTACTTACCAAAAAAAAACGTCTCAATACGAGATTGGCTGGTGGCTGGTGGGTTGGTTGATGCAGTGCTTGGTGTGGGGTAAAGGAGGGAAAGAAGCCGTATCCAGGTGAAGGATTGATAAACATCCTGTTGGGAAAGCCGTGTTTGTCTGTATGTAGAGAATATGAAATGCTGAAGAACACATTAGGAAATGAAGAAGTATCAACAGCACACACCACAACAACAGCAGAGTCCTGTAATAGTCTGTGGTTTGGATTATAATACAGGGAGGAGGGCAGGAAAACACAAGCACTGGAAAGACATTTGGAAAGACATTAGAAAATTAGCATGGAATGGTTTCTATCCTATAAGACATTAACCAAAACATTAGCATATTAGCATGGAATGGTTTCTATGTTATTATTATAGACATTAGCCAAAACATTAGCATATTAGCATGGATTGGTTTCTATCCTGTAAGACATTAACCAAAACATTAGCATATTAGCATGGAATGGTTTCTTTTTTTTTCTATGTCTCCCCCCTGGACTGCAACCTTAACGTGGTGGGGGAGTTTGAGTACTCGGATGATCCTGGGAGCTATGCTGTCTGGGGCTTCATGCCCCTGGTAGGGCCTCCCATGGCAGACAGGTCTCAGGTGACGAGTCAGACAAAGAGCAGTCCAGAAGACACCATGGACAGCACAGATAAGAGATCAGTGACGTCGCCCGGCATGGCGCAGCCGGGGCCCCACCCTGGAGCCAGGCCTGGGGTCGGGGCTCGTATGCGAGCGCCTGGTGGCCGGGCCTTAGCCCACGGGGCCCGGCCGGGCTCAGCCCGAATGGACGACGTGGGCAGTCCCTCCTGTGGGCCCACCTCTACACACAGCCTGGGCTCTGGAACCCAACTCCTTGAGAGGGGTTGGACGCTCCACTTTTCTGGAGTTTCCCGCGGGGAGAGGCGGCGAGCTGGGGTGGCCATTCTCATTGCCCCCCATCTCAGCCGCCACGTGTTGGAGTTCTCCCCGGTGAATGAGAGGGTCGCGTCCCTCCGCCTCCGGGTGGGGGACAAGTCTCTCATTGTTGTGACGGCCTACGGGCCTAACAGCAGTGCAGAGTACCCGGCCTTCTTGGAGTCCTTGGGAGGGGTACTGGACGGTGCACCGCCCGGGGACTCCGTTATTCTCCTGGGGGACTTCAACGCCCATGTGGGAAACGCCAGTGACACTTGGAGAGGGGTGATCGGGAAAAACGGCCCCCCTGATCTGAACCCGAGCGGTGTTCAGTTGTTGGACTTCTGTGCCAGTCACAGTTTGTCCATCACGAACACCATGTTCCAGCACAAGGGTGTCCACCAGTGCATGTGGCACCAGGACACCCTAGGCCGGAGGTCGATGATCGACTTTGTGGTCGTGAGCTGGATGCGCTGGCAGGGGAAGAAGCCGGTCAGACCTGGCAGACCCAAGCGTATAGTGAGGGTTTGCTGGGAACGTCTCGCTGAGCCCCCTGTCAGACGGACTTTCAACTCACACCTCCGGGAGAGTTTCTCCCAGGTCCCGGCGGAGGAGGGGGACATGGAGTCCGAGTGGACCATGTTCTCTGCCTCAATCGCCGATGCGGCGGCTCGTAACTGTGGTCGCAAGGTCTCTGGTGCTGGTCCCGGCGGCAACCCCCGAACCCGGTGGTGGACACCGGCAGTAAGGGATGCTGTCAGGCTGAAGAAGAAGTCCTATCGAGCCATGATGGTTTGGGGGACTCCTGAGGCAGCTGTCCAGTACCGGCAGGCCAAGCGTGCCGCGGCCCGGGCTGTTGCAGAGGCAAAAACCCGGGACTGGGAGGAGTTCGGAGAGTCCATGGAGCATGACTATCGGTCGGCCTCGAAGAGATTCTGGCAAACCATCCGGCGCCTCAGGGGGAAGCAGTTCTTTGCCAACACCATGTACAGTGCGGGTGGAGAGCTGCTGACCTCGACTGGGGATATTGTCGGGCGGTGGAAGGAATACTTTGAGGTTCTCCTCAATCCCCCCGTCACGTCCTCTGTTTCAGAGGCAGAGGCTGAGGATGTTGGGGCGGATACATCCATCTCCCTGGCTGAGGTCACCAAGGTGGTTGGTAGCCTCCATGGTGGCACGGCTCCGGGTGTGGATGAGATCCGCCCTGATTATCTAAAGTCTCTGGATGTTGTAGGACTGTCTTGGCTGACACGTCTCTGCAACATCGCGTGGCGATCGGGGGCAGTGCCAATGGAGTGGCAGACCGGGGTGGTGGTCCCTCTCTACAAGAAGGGGGACCGGAGGGTGTGTTCCAATTATCGTGGGATCACACTCCTCAGCCTCCCCGGTAAGGTCTACTCCAAGGTACTGGAGAGGAGGCTACGGCCGATGGTCGAATCTCGGATCCAGGAGGAGCAGTGTGGTTTTCGTCCCGGTCGCGGAACACTGGACCAGCTCTATACTCTCCATCGGATACTCGAGGGTTCATGGGAGTTCGCCCAACCTGTCCACATGTGCTTTGTGGATTTGGAGAAGGCGTTCGACTGTGTTCCCCGGGGTGTCCTTTGGGGGGTTCTCCGGGAGTACGGGGTCGGAGGTCCTCTGCTGAGGGCCATCCGATCCCTGTATGACCGGAGCCAGAGCTGTGTTCGCATGGCCGGCAGTAAGTCAGACCTGTTCCCGGTGCATGTTGGCCTCCGACAGGGCTGCCCTTTGTCACCGGTTCTGTTCACTGTATTTATGGACAGAATTTCTAGGCGCAGCCAGGGGTCGGAGGGGGTCCGGTTCGGGGACCACAGGATTTCATCTCTGCTGTTTGCGGACGATGTTGTCCTGTTGGCTCCAACGAACCAGGACCTGCAGCATGCACTGGGACGGTTTGCAGCCGAGTGTGAAGCGGCTGGGATGAAAATCAGCACCTCCAAATCTGAGGCCATGGTGCTCGACCGGAAAAAGGTGCCTTGCCCTCTGCAGGTGGGTGGAGAGATCCTTCTTCAAGTGGAGGAGTTCAAGTATCTCGGGGTCTTGTTCACGAGTGAGGGAAGAATGGAGCGTGAGATTGACAGGCGGATCGGTGCAGCGTGCGCAGTGATGCGGTCGCTGTATCGGACCGTTGTGGTAAAGAGGGAGCTGAGCCGAAAGGCAAAGCTCTCGATTTACCGGTTAATCTTCGTTCCCTCCCTCACCTATGGTCATGAGCTTTGGGTAATGACCGAAAGAACGAGATCGCGGATACAAGCGGTCGAAATGAGCTTCCTCCGCAGAGTGGAGATTGTTTTTTTTGTGGATTATAATATTGGGAGGAGGGGAGGAAAACACAAGCAGTGGAAAGATATCAGCAAAAACATTAGCCAAAACATTAGCAAATTAGCATGGATTGGTTTCTATCAAACTGAGGATAAGATAAGATAAACTTTGTGTCTTGGGGACTAAAAAGAGTAGGAATGGAGAAAATTGACAACCTGTTATTATGTTTCATACTTTGCAAACAAACTCTGTGTCATTTCGGAAATAACCAGTTTGTTTTATTGCATTTAATATTAGCAGATATTAGCATTATGCAGGTGAGTGGGGGAGAGTCAATACAAATTTAAATGACCCTGAAAAATGATGATTCTGTTTCAAGTCAACGCTTACGTCTTGTAAACTGTGTATTCTTGACTGATTTTTGTCTAATGTAAGTGAGTAAAGTTTATTTATAGACCGCATTTTTACAGACCAAGGTCACCCAGAGCACTTTACAATGTTCAGAGTCAGATACAGTTCCAATCATTCCACACACGGTGATGACAGAAGCGAGTCCAGAACACACTGGACCATCAAAACCTCCGACCAAACACCATTCACTCTCTCATTACATTCATACCTATTGTGCATGTTTTTAGTGGTAGGGGAAACCGGAGCACCTGGAGAAAACCTACGGGGAGAACATGCAAACTCCACTCAGAAAAGCCCTGTTCCGACCGGGATTCGAACCCAGGACCTACTAATGTGTCAACACTATGTTTGTCCTTATGCCTTGTATTTTTGTTGTGTTCATGTATATTAATGGGTTTTAATGTATTTTTAAACATCACACCTTCTTGGCTAATTCTGGCTTTTTAAAACTCATTTTTAATTGTGTGTTTTATTAAATTGCCTTGTCCCCTTTGAAATAAACTAAACTGAAACTGAAACAATAACAACATAACCAGGAGTTAGCTTGGAAATCTTTTAATTTTCACGTCTGTCTGTCAAATAAATATAAAAAAGTGTCCCAAAATGCTGCTGGGGACAGATGAAGGACTGGACTCGGACCGGACTGGACCAGGTTGGAGGATCTCCTCTACTGTGCCTGTCTTAGGCCGGGCGGTGGGTCCATCGGGGGCGATACTGTGCTACACTTCAATGGGACCTTCTTCTTCTTGGGTTTTGAGACGTGAGATGTTTGAGGAGGTGACCTACACTCGCCTCCCGCTAACGCCGCAGCACTTTGCAAAGAGTTCCTCTGGTGTTCTGGCTTCTTCCTTTGCTCACAGTGTGTTGTCGTGCTGCTCTTGGGAAAAGGCTCGGCTGCTTCGGGAGGAAACAGTTCTTTGAAGAGCAGGACAAAGTTCTTTTGACTGGACAGAGGGAGGACTCTCTGACCACGACGGCATTTGTTAAATATCTCCAACGTCAAGTCTAGAGAAAATAAGATGAAGAATGATCAGTTTTGGATCATTTTGATGTATTTGCTTTATTTTGGAAACATTTGGAAAAAAGTAGTGGTAGAAATCAAGTCCAGGGCGTTGTATAGTACTTCAAGCATCGCTCCCTGGTGGTCACTCTTATTCATAGCACTTGAGTTGAGATATTTTTTATTTTCTCACAATGGAGAAAATCAGAAAAAGGTACTTGCTTTTCTCGGGTTTGGATCATTTTGATGTTTATGTTCTATTGTAGAAATATTTGGAATAAGGTAGTGGTGGAAATAAAGTCTTAGTGCGTTGTGAAGTACTTCAAGCATCGCCCCCTGGTGGTCATTCTTACTCATAGCATGTACATCATATATAGAAGACATATACTTTATCTCACAATGGAAAAATTCAGGAAAAAAATATGTGCTATTCTCACTTTTGGATCCTTTTGATAATGTGTTAATTCTATTTTTGAAACAATTGGAAAAAAGTAGTGGTGGAAATTGTTGTTTAGTACTCAAAGCGTCAAGCATTGCCCCCTGGTGGTCATTCTGATTCATAGCACTTGAGATGATATACTTTATTATCTAACAATGGAAAAGCGTTTAATGAAGGGGATGTAAATGGATCATAATTATCATTTCTAAAACATGTGTTCTAGAGCTTTGTATAGAGACAGTACTCACCCAATGTCTCGCTCACTATGTTGGGGATGACCTCCTTCAGCACGGAGCAGTTTGTGTGCAGAGCTGGGTTACAGTTCATCTCCAACAGCCACACCTACAGAACAACATCACATTTACCGGTAACGTCACGGAACAAAGCAAAATGTGTGTGTTTTTTTATAGAAAATTACGTTAAAGTCTTCGTCAATCATGAAGTCACAGCCAATCATGTCGAAGAACCCCAATCTGCAGTCCAGTTTGGCTTTGACCGACAGAAAACACTGGGTCAAAATCTGCTGCATGCGTTTCTTAATGGGAAAAAATTAAAAAATTAAAATACACAAAATTATATATGGATACCAGTGAATATCTATATATGTATTTATTAATGTATTTGATAGGGACAATGCACTTTAATGAATCAGTAAAACAGCTGTAAATACACGGGATTATAGCTATATATGCAATAAAAACAAACAGTAATTTTTCTGTATAGGACGAATCGTGTACAAGGCCATTCAAAGTGCTTCACAAGAACATACAATTATACAAACATTTAAAAAATAAATAAATAATAGAATTTAAAAAATAATAATAATAACAAGAATAATTGTTGCATGAAAAGAAACATTATAGACTGAATGTCAGAATTAAAACGGTAAAAAAAACTCAATCATTTATTCGTACTGCACAAATCGTGTACAAGGCAATTCAAAGTGCTTCACAAGAGAAAAGTCAATCTACAATTATTAATTATATTAAAACAGAGCAGGATAAAAGTATGGGGTTAAAAACTCATTAAAAAGTGGGTTTAAACAGGGAGATAAAACTAATAATAAGTTCAAAATAGAATCAGTTGTATGCGCAGCTAAAACTATATGTTTTCAGTCTGGGTTTATAATAATAACTGATATATATGTGTTTAAAATGTCATAAACATTTGAGCACAAAGCCATGAGCTCATTGTGAAGCGTGTGATTTGGACGGATCTATAATGAGTGTAATCAGTCCCAGTGAGACTCACGGTGAAGAGACCCAGAACCCAGTCCCGGGGCAGGGCCTTGGTTTCGGCAAAGCGCTCGTTCACGTAGGCATTGAAGCTCTCCATGGACCACACTGTGTCCTCCTTCAGCTGGCTGTACAGAGGGTTCTTTTTCTGCATGTACTGGCACGGCGTGGACAGCAGGGGGCGCACAGAGATACGTGTTAGACGCAGTAAAAGAAATGTCATTATGAGGAGAATGGAGTGGGTCGATTGTGTTATTCCCTCGGCTCACTTCCTCATTCAAAGTGAGACAGCAGTTTGTTCACATAAACGCTGCAACCTGTAGTTTTACTGGAACAAAATCACTTGAAAAAATTAGACAAAACATGAGAAAACAAGTAAAATACTGCTTAAGATCTGCCAATAGAACAAGAAAATATAACTTAAGATTTCTAAAAATAATAACATAATTCTTGCACCAAATGACTTGATTCTAGTTTAAAAACACACATTTCAAGTATTTTAAAAATATTTCTCAAACATTTTTTTATGTTTTTTTTAAATATAGCAAACTTATTTCAACTAAACAAAAATAAAAAATACTGAAAATAATCTTAAAAACTCTTTTTCTCTCATAATATTATGTAGTATCTTTAAAAACTAGTAAAATAATCTTATGACAAACTACATTCAAGAAACAAAAACTTAAAAATAAGCATCATTTATGTTGTTTTTAGTGAATAAATCAGAATTGAGTCCTGCAGATGGAAACTTCTCACTATGAGTTAAATGTCACTTTAATAAAGATGAACTAAATAAACATCTGGGTCAGATTTATTCACTAAAAACAACATAAATGATGCTTATTTTTAAGTTTTTGTGGCTTGAAAGTGAGTTTTTAAGTTTGTTAAGTATTTTGTCTCATTTCCAGACTTTTCTTGTTCAGATAAAATAAGTTTGTGATGCTATATTTTACTGGTACTGTCGGTGTTGTGTTGCTGTTACTTGGTTGGTGAGGTGCGTGGCCATGTTGGTATTGTGTTGTTGTTACTTGGTTGGTGAGGTGCGTGGCCATGTTGGTGTTGTGTTGCTGTTACTTGGTTGGTGAGGTGCGTGGCCATGTTGGTATTGTGTTGTTGTTACTTTGTTGGTGAGGTGCGTGGCCATGTTGGTGTTGTATTGTTGTTACTTGGTGGGTGAGGTGCGTGGCCATGTTGGTGTTGTGTTGCTGTTACTTGGTTGGTGAGGTGCGTGGCCATGTTGGTGTTGTGTTGTTGTTACTTTGTTGGTGAGGTGCGTGGCCATGTTGGTGTTGTGTTGTTGTTACTTGGTTGGTGAGGTGCGTGGCCATGTTGGTGTTGTGTTGCTGTTAATTGGTTGGTGAGGTGCGTGGCCATGTTGGTGTTGTGTTGCTGTTACTTGGTTGGTGAGGTGCGTGGCCATGTTGGTGTTGTGTTGTTGTTACTTTGTTGGTGAGGTGCGTGGCCATGTTGGTGTTGTGTTGTTGTTACTTTGTTGGTGAGGTGCGTGGCCATGTTGGTGTTGTGTTGTTGTTACTTTGTTGGTGAGGTGTGTGGCCATGTTGGTGTTGTGTTGTTGTTACTTGGTTGGTGAGGTGCGTGGCCATGTTGGTGTTGTGTTGCTGTTACTTGGTTGGTGAGGTGCGTGGCCATGTTGGTGTTGTGTTGCTGTTACTTGGTTGGTGAGGTGCGTGGCCATGTTCGTGTTGTGTTGTTGTTACTTGGTTGGTGAGGTGCGTGGCCATGTTGGTGTTGTGTTGCTGTTACTTTGTTGGTGAGGTGTGTGGCCATGTTGGTGTTGTGTTGTTGTTACTTGGTTGGTGAGGTGCGTGGCCATGTTGGTGTTGTGTTGCTGTTACTTGGTTGGTGAGGTGCGTGGCCATGTTGGTGTTGTGTTGCTGTTACTTGGTTGGTGAGGTGCGTGGCCATGTTGGTGTTGTGTTGCTGTTACTTGGTTGGTGAGGTGCGTGGCCATGTTGGTGTTGTGTTGCTGTTACTTGGTTGGTGAGGTGCGTGGCCATGTTGGAGTTGTATTGTTGTTACTTGGTGGGTGAGGTGCGTGGCCATGTTGGTGTTGTGTTGCTGTTACTTGGTTGGTGAGGTGTGTGGCCATGTTGGTGTTGTGTTGTTGTTACTTGGTTGGTGAGGTGCGTGGCCATGTTGGTGTTGTGTTGTTGTTACTTGGTTGGTGAGGTGCGTGGCCATGTTGGTGTTGTGTTGTTGTTACTTGGTTGGTGAGGTGTGTGGCCATGTTGGTGTTGTGTTGTTGTTACTTGGTTGGTGATGTGCGTGGCCATGTTGGTGTTGTGTTGTTGTTACTTGGTTGGTGAGGTGCGTGGCCATGTTGGTGTTGTGTTGTTGTTACTTGGTTGGTGAGGTGCGTGGCCATGTTGGTGTTGTGTTGTTGTTACTTGGTTGGTGAGGTGCGTGGCCATGTTGGTGTTGTGTTGCTGTTACTTGGTTGGTGAGGTGCGTGGCCATGTCGGTGTTGTGTTGTTGTTACTTTGTTGGTGAGGTGCGTGGCCATGTTGGTGTTGTGTTGTTGTTACTTTGTTGGTGAGGTGCGTGGCCATGTTGGTGTTGTGTTGTTGTTACTTTGTTGGTGAGGTGCGTGGCCATGTTGGTGTTGTGTTGTTGTTACTTGGTTGGTGAGGTGCGTGGCCATGTTGGTGTTGTGTTGCTGTTACTTGGTTGGTGAGGTGCGTGGCCATGTTCGTGTTGTGTTGTTGTTACTTGGTTGGTGAGGTGCGTGGCCATGTTGGTGTTGTGTTGCTGTTACTTTGTTGGTGAGGTGTGTGGCCATGTTGGTGTTGTGTTGTTGTTACTTGGTTGGTGAGGTGCGTGGCCATGTTGGTGTTGTGTTGCTGTTACTTGGTTGGTGAGGTGCGTGGCCATGTTGGTGTTGTGTTGCTGTTACTTGGTTGGTGAGGTGCGTGGCTATGTTGGTGTTGTGTTGCTGTTACTTGGTTGGTGAGGTGCGTGGCCATGTTGGTGTTGTGTTGCTGTTACTTGGTTGGTGAGGTGCGTGGCCATGTTGGTGTTGTATTGTTGTTACTTGGTGGGTGAGGTGCGTGGCCATGTTGGTGTTGTGTTGCTGTTACTTGGTTGGTGAGGTGTGTGGCCATGTTGGTGTTGTGTTGTTGTTACTTTGTTGGTGAGGTGCGTGGCCATGTTGGTGTTGTGTTGTTGTTACTTGGTTGGTGAGGTGCGTGGCCATGTTGGTGTTGTGTTGTTGTTACTTGGTTGGTGAGGTGTGTGGCCATGTTGGTGTTGTGTTGTTGTTACTTGGTTGGTGAGGTGCGTGGCCATGTTGGTGTTGTGTTGCTGTTACTTGGTTGGTGAGGTGCGTGGCCATGTCGGTGTTGTGTTGTTGTTACTTTGTTGGTGAGGTGCGTGGCCATGTTGGTGTTGTGTTGCTGTTACTTGGTTGGTGAGGTGCGTGGCCATGTCGGTGTTGTGTTGTTGTTACTTTGTTGGTGAGGTGCGTGGCCATGTTGGTGTTGTGTTGCTGTTACTTGGTTGGTGAGGTGCTCGGCCATGTTGGTGGTGTGCTGTTGTTACTTGGTTGGTGAGGTGCGTGGCCATGTCGGTGTTGTGTTGTTGTTACTTGGTTGGTGAGGTGCGTGGCCATGTTGGTGTTGTGTTGCTGTTACTTGGTTGGTGAGGTGCGTGGCCATGTTGGTGTTGTGTTGCTGTTACTTGGTTGGTGAGGTGCGTGGCCATGTTGGTGTTGTGTTGTTGTTACTTTGTTGGTGAGGTGCGTGGCCATGTTGGTGTTGTGTTGCTGTTACTTGGTTGGTGAGGTGCGTGGCCATGTTGGTGTTGTGTTGCTGTTACTTGGTTGGTGAGGTGCGTGGCCATGTTGGTGTTGTATTGTTGTTACTTGGTGGGTGAGGTGCGTGGCCATGTTGGTGTTGTGTTGCTGTTACTTGGTTGGTGAGGGTGTGTGTGGCCATGTTGGTGTTGTGTTGTTGTTACTTTGTTGGTGAGGTGTGTGGCCATGTTGGTGTTGTGTTGTTGTTACTTGGTTGGTGAGGTGCGTGGCCATGTTGGTGTTGTGTTGCTGTTACTTGGTTGGTGAGGTGCGTGGCCATGTTCGTGTTTGTTGTTGTTACTTTGTTGGTGAGGTGCGTGGCCATGTTGGTGTTGTGTTGTTGTTACTTTGTTGGTGAGGTGCGTGGCCATGTTGGTGTTGTGTTGTTGTTACTTTGTTGGTGAGGTGTGTGGCCATGTTGGTGTTGTGTTGTTGTTACTTGGTTGGTGAGGTGCGTGGCCATGTTGGTGTTGTGTTGCTGTTACTTGGTTGGTGAGGTGCGTGGCCATGTTCGTGTTGTGTTGTTGTTACTTGGTTGGTGAGGTGCGTGGCCATGTTGGTGTTGTGTTGCTGTTACTTTGTTGGTGAGGTGTGTGGCCATGTTGGTGTTGTGTTGTTGTTACTTGGTTGGTGAGGTGCGTGGCCATGTTGGTGTTGTGTTGCTGTTACTTGGTTGGTGAGGTGCGTGGCCATGTTGGTGTTGTGTTGCTGTTACTTGGTTGGTGAGGTGCGTGGCCATGTTGGTGTTGTGTTGCTGTTACTTGGTTGGTGAGGTGCGTGGCCATGTTGGTGTTGTGTTGCTGTTACTTGGTTGGTGAGGTGCGTGGCCATGTTGGTGTTGTATTGTTGTTACTTGGTGGGTGAGGTGCGTGGCCATGTTGGTGTTGTGTTGCTGTTACTTGGTTGGTGAGGTGTGTGGCCATGTTGGTGTTGTGTTGTTGTTACTTGGTTGGTGAGGTGCGTGGCCATGTTGGTGTTGTGTTGTTGTTACTTGGTTGGTGAGGTGCGTGGCCATGTTGGTGTTGTGTTGTTGTTACTTGGTTGGTGAGGTGTGTGGCCATGTTGGTGTTGTGTTGTTGTTACTTGGTTGGTGAGGTGCGTGGCCATGTTGGTGTGTTGTGTTGTTGTTACTTGGTTGGTGAGGTGCGTGGCCATGTTGGTGTTGTGTTGTTGTTACTTTGTTGGTGAGGTGCGTGGCCATGTTGGTGTTGTGTTGTTGTTACTTGGTTGGTGAGGTGCGTGGCCATGTTGGTGTTGTGTTGCTGTTACTTGGTTGGTGAGGTGCGTGGCCATGTTGGTGTTGTGTTGCTGTTACTTGGTTGGTGAGGTGCGTGGCCATGTTGGTGTTGTGTTGTTGTTACTTTGTTGGTGAGGTGCGTGGCCATGTTGGTGTTGTGTTGTTGTTACTTTGTTGGTGAGGTGCGTGGCCATGTTGGTGTTGTGTTGTTGTTACTTTGTTGGTGAGGTGTGTGGCCATGTTGGTGTTGTGTTGTTGTTACTTGGTTGGTGAGGTGCGTGGCCATGTTGGTGTTGTGTTGTTGTTACTTGGTTGGTGAGGTGCGTGGCCATGTTGGTGTTGTGTTGCTGTTACTTTGTTGGTGAGGTGTGTGGCCATGTTGGTGTTGTGTTGTTGTTACTTGGTTGGTGAGGTGCGTGGCCATGTTGGTGTTGTGTTGCTGTTACTTGGTTGGTGAGGTGCGTGGCCATGTTGGTGTTGTGTTGCTGTTACTTGGTTGGTGAGGTGCGTGGCCATTTTGGTGTTGTGTTGCTGTTACTTGGTTGGTGAGGTGCGTGGCCATGTTGGTGTTGTATTGTTGTTACTTGGTGGGTGAGGTGCGTGGCCATGTTGGTGTTGTGTTGCTGTTACTTGGTTGGTGAGGTGTGTGGCCATGTTGGTGTTGTGTTGTTGTTACTTGGTTGGTGAGGTGCGTGGCCATGTTGGTGTTGTGTTGTTGTTACTTGGTTGGTGAGGTGCGTGGCCATGTTGGTGTTGTGTTGTTGTTACTTGGTTGGTGAGGTGTGTGGCCATGTTGGTGTTGTGTTGTTGTTACTTGGTTGGTGATGTGCGTGGCCATGTTGGTGTTGTGTTGTTGTTACTTGGTTGGTGAGGTGCGTGGCCATGTTGGTGTTGTGTTGTTGTTACTTGGTTGGTGAGGTGCGTGGCCATGTTGGTGTTGTGTTGTTGTTACTTGGTTGGTGAGGTGCGTGGCCATGTTGGTGTTGTGTTGCTGTTACTTGGTTGGTGAGGTGCGTGGCCATGTCGGTGTTGTGTTGTTGTTACTTTGTTGGTGAGGTGCGTGGCCATGTTGGTGTTGTGTTGTTGTTACTTTGTTGGTGAGGTGCGTGGCCATGTTGGTGTTGTGTTGTTGTTACTTTGTTGGTGAGGTGCGTGGCCATGTTGGTGTTGTGTTGTTGTTACTTGGTTGGTGAGGTGCGTGGCCATGTTGGTGTTGTGTTGCTGTTACTTGGTTGGTGAGGTGCGTGGCCATGTTCGTGTTGTGTTGTTGTTACTTGGTTGGTGAGGTGCGTGGCCATGTTGGTGTTGTGTTGCTGTTACTTTGTTGGTGAGGTGTGTGGCCATGTTGGTGTTGTGTTGTTGTTACTTGGTTGGTGAGGTGCGTGGCCATGTTGGTGTTGTGTTGCTGTTACTTGGTTGGTGAGGTGCGTGGCCATGTTGGTGTTGTGTTGCTGTTACTTGGTTGGTGAGGTGCGTGGCCATGTTGGTGTTGTGTTGCTGTTACTTGGTTGGTGAGGTGCGTGGCCATGTTGGTGTTGTGTTGCTGTTACTTGGTTGGTGAGGTGCGTGGCCATGTTGGTGTTGTATTGTTGTTACTTGGTGGGTGAGGTGCGTGGCCATGTTGGTGTTGTGTTGCTGTTACTTGGTTGGTGAGGTGTGTGGCCATGTTGGTGTTGTGTTGTTGTTACTTTGTTGGTGAGGTGCGTGGCCATGTTGGTGTTGTGTTGTTGTGACTTGGTTGGTGAGGTGCGTGGCCATGTTGGTGTTGTGTTGTTGTTACTTGGTTGGTGAGGTGTGTGGCCATGTTGGTGTTGTGTTGTTGTTACTTGGTTGGTGAGGTGCGTGGCCATGTTGGTGTTGTGTTGTTGTTACTTGGTTGGTGAGTTGCGTGGCCATGTTGGTGTTGTGTTGTTGTTACTTGGTTGGTGAGGTGCGTGGCCATGTTGGTGTTGTGTTGCTGTTACTTGGTTGGTGAGGTGCGTGGCCATGTTGGTGTTGTGTTGCTGTTACTTGGTTGGTGAGGTGCGTGGCCATGTTGGTGTTGTGTTGCTGTTACTTGGTTGGTGAGGTGCGTGGCCATGTTGGTGTTGTGTTGTTGTTACTTGGTTGGTGAGGTGCGTGGCCATGTTGGTGTTGTGTTGTTGTTACTTGGTTGGTGAGGTGCGTGGCCATGTTGGTGTTGTGTTGCTGTTACTTGGTTGGTGAGGTGCGTGGCCATGTTGGTGTTGTGTTGTTGTTACTTGGTTGGTGAGGTGCGTGGCCATGTTGGTGTTGTGTTGTTGTTACTTGGTTGGTGAGGTGCGTGGCCATGTTGGTGTTGTGTTGCTGTTACTTGGTTGGTGAGGTGCGTGGCCATGTTGGTGTTGTGTTGCTGTTACTTGGTTGGTGAGGTGCGTGGCCATGTCGGTGTTGTGTTGTTGTTACTTGGTTGGTGAGGTGCGTGGCCATGTTGGTGTTGTGTTGTTGTTACTTTGTTGGTGAGGTGCGTGGCCATGTTGGTGTTGTGTTGTTGTTACTTTGTTGGTGAGGTGCGTGGCCATGTTGGTGTTGTGTTGTTGTTACTTGGTTGGTGAGGTGCGTGGCCATGTTGGTGTTGTGTTGCTGTTACTTGGTTGGTGAGGTGCGTGGCCATGTTCGTGTTGTGTTGTTGTTACTTGGTTGGTGAGGTGCGTGGCCATGTTGGTGTTGTGTTGCTGTTACTTTGTTGGTGAGGTGTGTGGCCATGTTGGTGTTGTGTTGTTGTTACTTGGTTGGTGAGGTGCGTGGCCATGTTGGTGTTGTGTTGTTGTTACTTGGTTGGTGAGGTGCGTGGCCATGTTGGTATTGTGTTGTTGTTACTTGGTTGGTGAGGTGTGTGGCCATGTTGGTGTTGTGTTGTTGTTACTTGGTTGGTGAGGTGCGTGGCCATGTTGGTGTTGTGTTGCTGTTACTTGGTTGGTGAGGTGCGTGGCCATGTTGGTGTTGTGTTGTTGTTACTTGGTTGGTGAGGTGCGTGGCCATGTCAGTGTTGTGTTGTTGTTACTTGGTTGGTGAGGTGCGTGGCCATGTAGGTGTTGTGTTGTTGTTACTTGGTTGGTGAGGTGCGTGGCCATGTCAGTGTTGTGTTGTTGTTACTTGGTTGGTGAGGTGCGTGGCCATGTTGGTGTTGTGTTGCTGTTACTTGGTTGGTGAGGTGCGTGGCCATGTTGGTGTTGTGTTGTTGTTACTTGGTTGGTGAGGTGCGTGGCCATGTTGGTGTTGTATTGCTGTTACTTGGTTGGTGAGGTGCGTGGCCATGTTGGTGTTGTGTTGCTGTTACTTGGTTGGTGAGGTGCGTGGCCATGTTGGTGTTGTGTTGTTGTTACTTGGTTGGTGAGGTGCGTGGCCATGTTGGTGTTGTGTTGTTGTTACTTGGTTGGTGAGGTGCGTGGCCATGTTGGTGTTGTGTTGTTGTTACTTGGTTGGTGAGGTGCGTGGCCATGTTGGTGTTGTGTTGTTGTTACTTGGTTGGTGAGGGGCGTGGCCATGTTGGTGTTGTGTTGCTGTTACTTTGTTGGTGAGGTGTGTGGCCATGTTGGTGTTGTGTTGTTGTTACTTGGTTGGTGAGGTGCATGGCCATGTGTTGGTGTTGTGTTGTTGTTACTTGGTTGGTGAGGTGCGTGGCCATGTCAGTGTTGTGTTGCTGTTACTTGGTTGGTAAGGTGCGTGGCCATGTTGGTGTTGTGTTGTTGTTACTTGGTTGGTGAGGTGCGTGGCCATGTTGGTGTTGTGTTGTTGTTACTTGGTTGGTGAGGTGCGTGGCCATGTTGGTGTTGTGTTGCTGTTACTTGGTTGGTGAGGTGCGTGGCCATGTTGGTGTTGTCTTGTTGTTACTTGGTTGGTGAGGTGCGTGGCCATGTCAGTGTTGTGTTGTTGTTACTTGGTTGGTGAGGTGCGTGGCCATGTCAGTGTTGTGTTGTTGTTACTTGGTTGGTGAGGTGCGTGGCCATGTTGGTGTTGTGTTGTTGTTACTTGGTTGGTGATGTTGCGTGGCCATGTTGGTGTTGTGTTGTTGTTACTTGGTTGGTGAGGTGCGTGGCCATGTCAGTGTTGTGTTGCTGTTACTTGGTTGGGAGGTGCGTGGCCATGTTGGTGTTGTGTTGTTGTTACTTGGTTGGTGAGGTGCGTGGCCATGTTGGTGTTGTGTTGCTGTTACTTGGTTGGTGAGGTGCGTGGCCATGTTGGTGTTGTGTTGTTGTTACTTGGTTGGTGAGGTGCGTGGCCATGTCAGTGTTGTGTTGTTGTTACTTGGTTGGTGAGGTGCGTGGCCATGTTGGTGTTGTGTTGTTGTTACTTGGTTGGTGAGGTGCGTGGCCATGTTGGTGTTGTGTTGTTGTTACTTGGTTGGTGAGGTGCGTGGCCATGTTGGGGCTCTGCAGGTCGTACTGGTCGCAGGTCAGACGCACATATCCGTGACTGAAGAAGACCACGTAGGGACAGGGGCAGGCGATGATAAGGAACGAGCGCACGTCAAACTTGCGGCCCTTCAGAAGCAGAGGGTTCTGGATGTATCTGAAGAAGAGAGAACCCATGTTACAGCAGCACGCCCTGGGTTCACATCTGCCACACTACATTAGTACAAATAGGTTTGTACTTCTGAATGCTCTGGAAACGGCAGCAAGTCCTAAGTGTCTGAAACAGTTACCGCTCTGGTCCAGTCTGTCTGTATCTGTCTGTGTGTCTGTATCTGTCTGTGTGTCTGTCTGTATCTGTCTGTGTGACTGTATCTGTCTGTCTGTATCTGTCTGTGTGTCTGTCTGTATCTGTCTGTGTGTCTGTCTGTATCTGTCTGTCTGTATCTGTCTGTCTGTATCTGTCTGTGTGTCTGTGTGTGTCTGTCTGTGTGTCTGTCTGTACTTCTGGACGACGCGCGCCTGCTGTCGGTGTAGCGGTGTCTTGCGGTGCTGGTGTCCGTGCTGCAGTCTCTCTCTGAGGGCGTTCACGTCCTCGTGGCTCTTGAGCAGAAAGATCCCTCGCCCTTGGTTGAGGCCGGTGGGTTTACAGATCCACATGTGTCTCTGGTTTGTAACGAGACCTGAAAACGAGTAGAAAATAGTTGTTGTCAAAAATATGAACGTTTTAGGCCTATCTGGGTTTGTTCAAACTAAAAGGTACAAAAGTCTGACAAAAGACCAAACATTAGATTTTAATAATCAGAAGATATATTATGTTTTTTATGTTTCCAAATCCCTGCTCTGTCCATTAGTAGACTGTTTTATAAATTAGTTAAGTTTCCTTAACTAGATCATCAAGACGATTGGTCCTCCCATTTGTCAATCATTCTGGTGATACGTGCTCGTCAAATAAGACCAGAGAGTTTTGTTCAGAAAGTGAAGAGGGCGGTTCTTTCCCGAAAATATGGAAAATCTTCCTATAGACCTTTAAATATGAATGAATTCTGTGACATCTATGGAAACTGAATATATCATGTACACATGTGCGCAAGTATTCATAACAAAAACAACCTAAAAAAAATTGGATTGACTTTATAAATTTGTAGTATAAAATAAAACAATAAAAAGTCCCATTATTTTTTCTGAAATTGATTTTTGTTCAACATCACTGTGATATCAAAACTGGTATCAAGTCTATTGGTGACAACAGTGTTTGGGACGTTATAAAAGTAATTATGAATTACTTCCTAAAATATGAGGACTCGACTTCTGCTGTTTACCGACAACTGAAGTCATCTATAAATGTGTTTACTTTAGGAACATTATGTCAGGTTGCCAGATCCAGCTGGGACGGTAACAGTTAAATAGACAATAGTTTTATCTAGCTATACAAATCTATAACCAACACCTTTTTCACAAAGATAGAAATCCTGGTTTTATTCCTTGTTTTGTCGTTAATGATTTGAGAATTATAACGAGACCTTTTTTAGTTCTGCGCCACATGGTACTTTACCAGTGAGATTAGCTCCACGCGGTGAGTTCTGGCGCCCGGATCTCAGACTTTCTGATTGGTGAAACGGTGGAGGGCGGGACATTGAAATGAAAACAATAACAAGATTTAGGGGCTGTAAAAGTAATTTAGAAAATCAAATATCTCTGAACTACTGTTATCAGTTAAAGAAGTGTTGGAAAAGAGCATGTTTTATTAACGCCTTTGGACAGTGTTTTTGCTTTAATGCACATAGTGATAAGTGATAAACATAATAATCTTGACATATATTATTTCCTTTGTTCCAGACTACAATTTATGGCCAATTACATGTTGGCGTCCTCCAGAGTGTGAGTTTGTTTGTGCTCAGTCCTGCCCTCTGCTGACTCGTCTCCGTAGCAACCTGTCGTTCCCGTGGAGACTGTATCAGGACCCAAGGATTATTTTTCCATGATTCAACTCCACAGCAACAGCAGCGTCCACAATAAAGTGAACCGTAAAGTAGCCTCAGCCCATTGTCTGTGTGTGTGTGTGTGTGTGTGTGTGTGTGTGTGTGTGTGTGTGCGCGTGTGTGTGAGAGAGTGTGTGTGTGTCTGTGTATTAGTGCGTGTGTGTGTAGTACCAGTACAGCCGTGTGTGTGTGTGTGTCTGTGCGTGTGTGTGTGCGTGTGTATTAGTGTGGGTGTGTGTGTATATGTGTGCGTGTGTGTGTGTGTGTGTGCCAGGTTACATACAAAAACAACAACTGACCTTCCTGTTGAGAGAAAAAGGCCTCTCTCTCTTCTCTTACGTCCATACGAAATGTGGTTGGAATAAACTCGTCCATTTTAAGTCTTCTTCCAAAAGAAAAAAGAGAAAAACATTAGTTAACCACAACAGTGATAAAATAAGTCCATAGTGCAGAAATGTGCGATGTGCTAATGAATGATTTTGGGGTTTGTTGAGTTCTGAAATCCTTGTCATGAGTCATAACACAAACAATAAAACGGTTTCGTAGACGCGCCACGTTTGAAGATCTCACAAAGTCTCTGTTTGTTCGACAAACAAACGCTCACTGTTTCAACATTTATTTTCCGACTTGAAAAGATACTTGCAAACAGAAGCGTTACGTCTACAATACTCTTCACATCGTAGGCTAACACTAGGCTAATCCTATCGCTAGCAGCTGCTGAATTACCCCCAACTTACACCCAGCGATAACGTAAAGAGTCCAGGTCATGTAGAAAGTATGTACAGTATGAATCTATAGATGTTAGAATCTGTTTAAGTCAGAGATAATGAAGAGTAGGCAGGTCATTATCGGAAAATAAGTACCGACAGGGCGACGCGGACCCCGACACACTGAACATTATCCCGCTTATCATACGGCTTTGAACCAACAGAACAAAATAAACTGTAAGTAGTAGTCGTAGTAAGTAATCTTTATTTATATACCGCCTTTTCACTGCACATCAGAGTCTCAAAGCGGTTTACAATTGTTTTTTTTTGGGAGTGGGGGTCGCCAGTACAGGAGGCACATGTCAGACCTATTGTACATATTTTTAGTGGTAGGGGAAACCGGAGCACCCGGAGGAAACCTACGCAGACATGGGGAGAACATGCAAACTCCACTCAGAAAGACCCTGGTCCATCCGGGATTCGAACCCAGGACCTTCTTGCTGAGAGGCGAGAGTGCTATCCACTCAGCCACCGTGCCGCCCACTGTAGTCCGCTTTTATGAATGCCAAAAGGTTTATTTAAAGGAGCATTATGTAAAAATCTGGCTAAAAGTGGTACTGCAGTCACAGTCAAATATTCTGTAGTCCTCTCCCTCTCCCTGACTCAGGTTGCCAGATACACACCAAATCCAGCAGAAAACACAAGGAATTATTTTATCAGTTGTTTGTCTGTCTCTCACATTGCCATGAGCCGTGCTAATGTTGAATGAATGTTTTGAATGAACGTTTTTTTATTTTTTTTATTTGGACATTTGAGATGAGAAAAACAAAATATTAGCAATTTAATTATACATAGATTATGCAAATATTTAGCATATTTCTTCAGCGTGTCAACATCAGGGTTTGCTACAGAGGATATCACCCGTTCAATTTTGTATTCCCTATTTTATAGACTTTTATTAGTCCCACATTATTTTAATTGGGGTACATGTGGTCTCAAATTATTCTTTTTACAATTAAGCTTTAATCTGCAAATAACGACTCGTTTTTGAGAGATGTGTGAAGAATATATCATTTATAGTTTAATCCAAAACATGTCTCACCCGGATTCGAACCCAGGCTGTTGGGGGCCAGTGCTATGATTTATCCAGTCCCACACTGGATCCAACCCACGATCATGAGGTTCAAAGACCAACTTTTACAACTGAGCTGCACTGTACTGTGTCCCGTTCACATCCAGAATCTTTTGGACTTTCAAGATTGTGCCGCACCGTCTCACCTGCAATCGGGCGGCACGGTGGCTGAGTGGTTAGCACTCTCGCCTCTCAGCAAGAAGGTCCTGGGTTCGAATCCCGGTCGGACCAGGGCCTTTCTGAGTGGAGTTTGCATGTTCTCCCCGTGTCTGTGTAGGTTTCCTCCGGGTACTCCGGTTTCCCCTACCACTAAAAATATGTCCAATAGTTCTGGCAAATAAGTACCGACAGGGCGACGCGGACCCCGACACACTGAACATTATCCCGCTTATCATACGGCTTTGAACCAACAGAACAAAATAAACTGTAAGTAGTAGTCGTAGTAAGTAATCTTTATTTATATACCGCCTTTTCACTGCACATCAGAGTCTCAAAGCGGTTTACAATTGTTTTTTTTTGGGAGTGGGGGTCGCCAGTACAGGAGGCACATGTCAGACCTATTGTACATATTTTTAGTGGTAGGGGAAACCGGAGCACCCGGAGGAAACCTACGCAGACATGGGGAGAACATGCAAACTCCACTCAGAAAGACCCTGGTCCATCCGGGATTCGAACCCAGGACCTTCTTGCTGAGAGGCGAGAGTGCTATCCACTCAGCCACCGTGCCGCCCACTGTAGTCCGCTTTTATGAATGCCAAAAGGTTTATTTAAAGGAGCATTATGTAAAAATCTGGCTAAAAGTGGTACTGCAGTCACAGTCAAATATTCTGTAGTCCTCTCCCTCTCCCTGACTCAGGTTGGGTTCGAATCCCGGTCGGACCAGGGCCTTTCTGAGTGGAGTTTGCATGTTCTCCCCGTGTCTGTGTAGGTTTCCTCCGGGTACTCCGGTTTCCCTTACCACTAAAAATATGTCCAATAGTTCTGGCATGTGCCTCCTGTACTGGCCCCTCCCATCTCTGTGTGGGGTGAGAGACAAATGCCCAAAAAAAAAATAATAACAATTGTAAACTGCTTTGAGACTCAGATCTGCAGTGAAAAGGCGGTATATAAATAAAGATTACTAAATTACTACTACTACTACTAAATCCCACCTCCCGCATGTGCTAGTTAATTAAACATGCTATAATTCTGTGTGTTGGGGCCTGGTGCAGTTGAGTTACCGGACGCCTTGGCAGTGTCTGACTTTGCTCCTGACTCTCTCGTACTCTCTGAGGCTGCGGAGGAGGCCGATCTTTGTGGTCAGGACGTCATTGTTTGGAATCTGGAACATTAACTGTTGACCTGGGGAGAAATGAATGTGCTACTGCAAATTCTCCTGGTCCACAAAGAAGTTACGCTGCATCCAAGGTTCAAACCACAACAAAAACAATGTCATAAAATCATCTAACACTTTGGTTTTCACATGGAAGTATTTTGTGTTTTTACTCCAGATCATTTTTCATACAATGGACTGAAAACATAACTTCCTCAGGTTAAAATGACCCGCTACAATGATTTAAAATTACCCTCAATATTTTCTTTTCGAGCAGAATGTTGGTGATTGTCCCTAACTTGACCAGCCCTGGGTTAAATAGAGTCTTTCGAACTACTTTTAATCACCAAGGTTAGCCCTTGTTCTATCCTCAAGTCAAAATTACCCTAAAAACTTTTTTTTCAAGCTGAATTTTGATGATTTTACCTAACTTGACCAGCCCTGGGTCCTTTTAGACTCTTTTAAACCTAATTTAGAGTCAAAAGGAGTCTACTTTTAATCCCTAGGATCACAGTTACCCACTATAGTGATTAAAAGCATAATAAAAATACAGTAAATTTGGGTCTAAAAGAGTCTAAATGACCCAGAGACGGTCGAGTTAAGAAAAATCATCAAAATTTTGCTTGAAAAAAATGATTTTGTGTATTTTTTTACTGCGTCAGGATAGTACCAGGGTTAAAAGTACACGCAGGAGCTAAAATACTTTATAGTAAGAGGAAAACAGTACGTTCTTAGTTGCTTTGGTCAAAAAACTTTACTTTTACAGGATTACGGGAAATGGGTGAGATCCATAAAGTCTATCTTATCTCTTTCTTATGGGGCTAACAACATGTTTTATTTATGGACAAAATGAGGTACTCCATCTTAACATTATCTGAGTCCTCACCTGGTCTGAAGTTGCTGTAGTTGGCTCTGGACCTGGTTTCACACCATTTGAGTTTGAAATCTTCTCGCTGCTTGTTTTCGATCCGAGTCCAGCCTTTGCTTTCACAGTAACTTCTCACGCTGGCATTGACACACAGAATTGGAAGAGCATAGATTTGTTGGGCCTTCACTGTAAGAGTCTAGTGCAATAATGAATCCTACATGTCCACTCCATTTGCCCCTCCCACGTAGAAGAAACCCCCGGAATATGGAGGTTCAGGCGGATGTGGTCTCCTCGCCGTGTGGGAGCGGAGACCTCTGCACCGCACTCCATCTGCTCTGAGACACACAAAGGATGAGTTTCATAACAACACGGATCTAAAACATTTATGCACCGAGGCTGGAAAAAGTTCAAAGACAGAGAAGTGTATCTTTACACTGGTCCAGACCAGAGCAGAGAGGATTCATGGTTTTACACTGGTCCAGACCAGAGCAGAGAGGATTCATGGTTTTACACTGGTCCAGACCAGAGCAGAGAGGATTCATGGTTTTACACTGGTCCAGACCAGAGCAGAGAGGATTCATGGTTTTACACTGGTCCAGACCAGAGCAGAGAGGATTCATGGTTTTACACTGGTCCAGACCAGAGCAGAGAGGATTCATGGTTTTACACTGGTCCAGACCAGAGCAGAGAGGATTCATGGTCCGAACCAAGAGGATCAGGTGAAAATCCACTGGAGGAATGCTAACTTTATGAAAAATGCTTATGAAGCATTTAACATTTTACTTTGGACCAGAGCAGAGGTTTTGCTGCTGTGACCTGAACGACTGCTGCTTAAGATGTTAATGTCAAGTCATCATTAAAGGGCCCTAATCTGTCCAAAGGCATTAATAAAACCTGCTCTTTTCCAATTCTTCTTTAACTGATAACAGTCGTTCAGAGATATTTGAATTTCTAAATTACTTTTACAGCCGCTAAATCTTGTTTTTGTTTTCATTTCGATGTCCCGCCCTCCACCTTTTCACCAATCAGAAAGTCTGTGATCCGGGCGCCAGAACTCACCGCGTGGAGCTAATCTCACTGGTAAAGTACCATGTGGCGCAGAACTAAAAAAGGTCTCGTTATGATTCTCAAATCATTAACGACAAAACAAGGAATAAAACCAGGATTTCTATCTTTGTGAAAAAGGTGTTGGTTATAGATTTGTTGTTGACAAAACTCTTGTCTATTCAGCTGTTATGGTCCCAGCTGGATTCGTCTGCATATCTGGCAACCTGAGTCAGGGAGAGTGGGAGAGGCTGCAGTACCACTTTTGGACAAATTTTTACACACTGCTCCTTTAACCCTTGTGCACCGTTTTCCAACCAGTGCCAAAATAATTATTATACAGGCTCAACACACACACACACACCCACACACACACACACACACACACACACACACACACACACACACACACACACACACACCTGACGTCCTCTCTCTCCTCACTGGACTCAAAGCTGTTTGTTCATGGCGCTGTCGCAGAGTTGTTCCATCTGATGACGTCACTTCCTTTGCCTCTTGTAAACCAGTTGGAGCGGTCCGTCCCGCCGCCGAGGCCTCTAGATGCGGGTAATCACAGCCCCCATCCTTCGCTGCTCCTGGTGACATCACTTCCTGTCTGATTGGTGGATGAGCCGGTGCAGGCCCCTCCTCACTGGACCCCTCCCCGGCGTGGGCTGCTGACATGGCACAGTCACGGCTCATTACCCTTTTCAGTCGCTGATCTGTGTGGAGGGAGCGCACCAGAGAGCAAGTCCCAGAGAGGATTCAACAGTTGTAGTGACTATTTGTCAAAAAATAAACCAAATGTAACCAAACTTAAGACCAAACTCAAATAATCACTAGAATGCACCATGGGTAAGTGGTTTACGCAGTACAAAAAATAAACAATTGTCCATTCCAAAAAATGTAAAGTTCAAAAGGGGTTTATTCATCAAGTTGCAGGCAAACAACACAAAAATGCTGCATCTCCCAGAACTGGTAAAAAACCATAGGCCCACCCAGGTGCATGAAGGCCCGCCCTGTACTGCCCCCTTATATCCCCTAGGTGCCACTAAACCAAAAAACTAAGTAAGTAAACCCAAAATAATTAAATCAATCAGGCAAATAGCTCCTACAACAGTATTCATCATTTTATAATCATTCCGCTCTCAAAGTTTTTCAACACAAACCGGAGCCAGAAATTCACGTCAATATGATATTATAATTTCCCTGTACTTGGAGCTGTCAGACCAAATATTTTAGAAGGAGCGCTACCGCAGGGCCTTTATCCCCACCGCTGTCAGACTGTACAACAAGTGACTTTAAGTCACTGATTTAAGACTGATTAAAAACCTGCACTACTATTGACACTTCTTCTTATTGCCACTTTTTGCACATAATATGTCCTGTTTGCACATTCTTACTTCTTACTTTTTGCACAATCTGGAATGTTTCTATCCATGCCAAACGTGACATGTAAATTTCTCCTGTGTGAGATTAATAAAGTACATCTTATCTGATCTTATTATGTATTTCAGCTTGTATAGGTATTTGCAAATATACAAAAATACCTTGTTACATACATTAAATAATTTAGAATCTAAAGACTTTAGTTAAAAGCTGGAAAGATACCAGCCTTTAACTAAAGTTTAGATAAATACTAGTATGTATCCTAGATTTTAACTTAATATAGATATACTAGTATGTACTGTATCCTCCAGGCCAAAATGCATTCATAACATACTTGCTCTGACAGTTACACACATGATTATTCTCAGTTCTAAACAAACCACTCACCTGCCTTTTCCATTCTATTGAACTAAAACAAAGACTCCAAAATATAGTCTCAGTCTGATCAGACCCTGGAGCTCAGAGGGTCTTCTCATTCACCGCAACTGGAACCAGGACGCAGACGGCAAAGCTGTAAACATGGAGTGGTTACTAGGGTAATGGGACCCCTAGCAACGGCGGCTTCTTTTAGATTCAATCTTACAACAGCAGCAAGACAAACCACAAACCCACCCAGCCTGGACTGTGACTTTAAAAAATATTAAAATTAAAAAATTAAAATACAAAATAACAATTGTAAAACCGCTTTGTGACTCTGGTCTGTGAAAGGCGGTATATAAATAAAGATTACTTACTTACTTAGCTACTTACTTAATTACTTTAGCCTCATTCAATATTGACTTCCTTTAAAGCCCGCGCTCTTTGTCAACACAAATCTCTCCAGCATATTATTTTACAGCCCCGTTGTTGTGGGTAGTAAGTTACATATTTCGTAATAAGTTGGTTTTGTGACATTTTACAGTGCCCTCTAGTGGCGCGCGCTGAGTGTGCAGTCTGACGGTTGAGAACGTTATGCCGTGTCCCGTATGGCAGAAGAGCAGCCCTCCCAAGTGTCGTTTTGACCCACATAAGGCTGTACATTTTGGTTTTGGTGATTGTAATGTCTATATTTTATCATTCTGTCACTACTGAGATCTACTTTTCATATGCAAATTAGAGCAAATGGGACAGCTTTATTTATATCACATTTAGATGAGAGTCATTTTAATAAGAGGGTTTGTTCACACTAAAGGGCACAAAAGGCTAAAAATGTGATTTTAATAACCAGATGATATTTTATGTTTTTGCATGTCTCCAAATCCCTCTCTGTCCATTAGAAGTTGCTAGAACATAACTGTTTTATACATTAGACAAGTTTCCTGTAACGGACGTGATGGTTTGACAGAATAAACTTTGTGGAATTTTGATAGGTATTTTCAGACACATTTGATTAAGAGATTCTATTTATTTTACACAAAGTAGAAACAAAGTGATAGTTTCTTATAGTCAACTAATTAAATGTGAAACCAGATCAGATTTTTTTTTTCTCAAGTTTATTTGTCTGAGAAAAATGGACAGAAACCACCACATCCGTTACACATTTATTCAAGAGTCATTTTATTTTTAATTGACTTTTTTTTTTTTTTACGATTCTTTTTTAAATCAAGTGAATTACTTATGTTGTGTTAACCATGTAAATTTCATCTGCCGCTTTTTCAGACTGAGGACATTTTATTTTCTGTGTAACTGGTGTCACAGTAGAATGGTCAAATCAGAGGCTGTTTCGGTCGTTTAAAATGTTGTTAAAATATATATTTGTCGATCTTTTGTTTTGATTTTATCCACACTATCTCTTCAATGTGTCTGTGTTTGAAATATTTGTTTCCAATCTATGAAAGTCATTTTAGTTTTTGAGTAATGACCTTTTAAAGTCCAGATACTTTAATTGACACTTTACTGTGAACACACTCAAGAGCTATCATGTAATACTGTAATAGATGTATTATATGTTCATACCAACTCTGTTAATGTTATTAGACAGTAACTACTGTCAGACACATGAGGATACTGGAATTCACTTATTCTAATTGCTGTATTTTTGTGTGTTACAGTTTCACAGTAAATGAATAAATGAGAAGAAATGTCAAGTAAACAACTTCTCAAACAAACACATCTGTTCACTGTCAGTCTTAGCTAAATATCTCTCAACATTTAGTGAGGACAGAACACCCGTATATGGTTTAATCAGGCAGTTATAAAAAATCATTACTTGATCATTTCACATTCGCTCGTGCCAAATTCGTGGAAGGTATGTGGTTGAGCAAGACAGCGGTTGATGACTTGCTTTGGCAAATCCAATAATCACCCCATGTCTGAGAGCTTTGACTCATGAGGAGACACCCAGGTCCAGCCACAATTGGTAATTATTCATAATCTCCTGCTCTGCTGCCTTCCTCCGACGGGTTGGTAATTGACAGGGAGGAGGGCGCCTGTGAGACCCAAACCAGGCTGGAAACGTGCAATTACAAACTCAAAGGACGGAGCAGTCAGCAGCAAGAACTACAGCAATGAAAATATAAATAAGATAAGATGTACTTTATTAATCTCACACAGGAGAAATTCACATGTCACATTTGGCATGGATAAAAACACTCAAGATTGTACAAACAGGACATGACATATGTACAAAAGTGGTAATGAGAAGAAGTGTCAATAGTAGTGCAGGTTTCTTTTCAGTCATAGCGCAGTGACTTAAAGTGACTTGTTGTACAGTCTGACAGCGGTGGGGTTAAAGGTGAGAAATGGTGAGAGGACAGTGCCCTGAGGGGCCCCAGTGCTGCAGACGACCACCTCAGACTCACAGCTGCGCAGCCGCACGTACTGTGGTCGGTCTGAGAGGTAGTTGATGGTCCATGCAGTGAGGCTACTGTCCACTCCCGCGTCCTCCATCTTCCCCTGCAGCAGTGCCGGCCTGATGGTATTGAAAGCACTGGAGAAGTCAAAAAACATGACCCTCACAGCGCTCCCGGCGGGCTCCAGGTGGGAAAGCGTCCGCTGCAGGAAGTAGATGACGGCGTCCTCTACTCCGATGTTGGGTCTGTAGGCGAACTGCAGCGGGTCCAGGGTGGGGCTGACCACGGAGCGGAGATGGGTGAGGATGAGCCGCTCCATGGTCTTCATCAGGTGGGAGGTCAGTGCTCCATGGTCTTCATCAGGTGGGAGGTCAGTGCTCCATGGTCTTCATCAGGTGGGAGGTCAGTGCTCCATGGTCTTCATCAGGTGGGAGGTCAGTGCTCCATGGTCTTCATCAGGTGGGAGGTCAGTGCTCCATGGTCTTCATCAGGTGGGAGGTCAGTGCTCCATGGTCTTCATCAGGTGGGAGGTCAGTGCTCCATGGTCTTCATCAGGTGGGAGGTCAGTGCTCCATGGTCTTCATCAGGTGGGAGGTCAGTGCGACTGGTCTGTAGTGAGCCGGTTCCTTGGCGTGTGCTGTTTTTGGAACCGGGATCACAGAGGAGGTCTTCCACAGGACAGGGACCTTCTCCAGGCTGAGGCTCAGGTTGTACATGTAGCTGAGGACCCCAGATAGCTGGTCTGCACAGGTCCTCAGCAGCCTGGGACTGATCCCGTCCGGTCCTGCGGATTTCCTCTGATTCAGTCGCTGGAGCTGACTCCTCACCTGGTCCGGTGTGATGGAGAGGGGGGGGGGGACCGGGGTGTACTGTCCGAGGTGGGGGCTGGGGATGTGTTAAAGATACAGTCAGTGATTTTTTCAAATATTGTGTGAAAACGTCCCTAAACCCTAAAAGTAGTCAAGTTAAATCTGCCTCTGATTGCCTGGATCAATCTACTTGCTTCCCCAACAGCAAAGAGATTACACAATACAACAGCAAAAATACATACAAGATGAGCAAGGTTTCTCACCCATCATCTGTACTTCTTAGCAGGTTTTCCCGACGTTTCATCCTTAATCCAAAGAACTTTTTGATGAAAGCCTATTCCCTTGAAAACGTTTTTTGGATTAAGGACAAAACGTCGGGAAAACCTGCTAAGAATTATAGATGACGACTGATAAACCTTGCTTTGCTTTGACTTATCCCTGTACGACTGAACGCTTACACAAACTTACATGCAGAATACATATCAGGAAACCATTGTGAACCACAATTCTACCTCCAAAACCAGTAAAAAAAACATTTACACATCTATGGACTTGCTCAGTGCTTTCTCCATAGTAAGAAGGAGAGGTATAATTACACTAAGGAAGATAGTTTCGTCATACACAAAAACAAAGCTGAAGATGAGGCATTTTTCATCAGGCCATGTATAGAGCGTTCCTGGTGTGTGTGTGTGTGTGTGTGTGTGTCTCTGTGTCTGTGTGTGTGTGTGTGTGTGTGTGTCTCTGTGTCTCTGTGTCTCTGTGTGTGTGTGTGTCTGTGTGTCTGTGTGTCTGTGTGTGTGTGTGTGTGTGTGTGTGTGTGTCTCTGTGTCTCTGTGTGTCTGTGTGTGTGTCTGTGTCTCTGTGTCTCTGTGTCTGTGTGTGTCTGTGTGTGTGTGTGTGTGTGTCTCTGTGTCTCTGTGTGTCTGTGTGTGTGTCTGTGTCTCTGTGTCTCTGTGTCTGTGTGTGTCTGTGTGTGTGTGTGTGTGTGTGTGTCTGTGTCTCTGTGTCTGTGTGTGTGTGTGTGTGTGTGTGTGTGTGTGTGTGTTTCCCATTGTTAGCCACACCTTGATAAAAAGCGCCATCTGATAGACACAGTGTACAAAGTGCTGCGTAGGTGGACAAAGAACCCGGGTTTGTTTTACAGCCTCCTCAACCTGACGCTTCACCATCTGCCACGAGCCCCTGACATGGGCTTCTACGACAATACAAGCTTAAAACAGGACGTGTCATCTGCTTCATCTCAGTTTATCTGCAAAACATGACTGTGAAAAACATGGTTCGCTCCAATTCTGAAGCCCAAAGAAAATAATGTGTTCAAATAATAAGTATTTTCAAAGTAATGCATTACAGTAGTGACTCAAAAGGTAATGTTTGTGTTCGCAGTGAAGTGACATTTAACATATCTGGACTTTAAAAGGTTATAACTCAAAAAACTAAAATTACTTTCATAGATTGGGAAAGGGATTTTAAGCACAGACAGATCAAAGAGACGGTGTCACGTGTCGAAATGAAGAAAAGGGGAACCCAAAAATGCAGGACTTAAAAAATCAAATGTGTAATTTAATAACGTCCAGAATCAGTGACAAAATGCACAAAAATCCAGATCTGAAAAATTAGACAGGGACAAAACTAGAAAAGACAATGGAGAAAAAGCACAGGGTGTAAATACAGACCGGAGACACAGGTGGACAGGACAGACAGGAAGTAAACTCAAACAACAGAACAAATAAAATCAGGTTAAAATAATCCAAAAAGTCCACACCATGACAGACAGTGTTGTTAAAATCAAAGGAAAGATTTACAAATACATTTTTGCTGACATTTTAAACGCCCAGATCAGCCTCTGATTGAATCATTCTGTGACTCAGAGACAGAAAATAAAATGTCCTCAGTCTGAACAAGCAGCAGATTAAATCCCACAAGATTAAGATTAACAACATCAGGAAATAACTTGATTTAAAAAGGAATCATTAAAGAAAAAATCAACACAAATGTAAATGACTCTTGAAATGTGTAACGGACGTGATGGTTTCTCCCAATTTTTCTCTAAAAATTAAACTTGAAGAAACAAAAATGATGGTCTGGTTTATAATTTAATTAGTTAACTTGATAAAATAAACATTAACCGCTTTAGGAAACTTGACTAACTTATAAAACTGTTTTAGACACTTCTAATGAACATAATGTATCTTCTGATGATTAAAAGCTAACGTTAGTCTGAACAAACCCCGTTATATTGAGTCACAGCCAACACCAACACTGCTCCTTCTTCTCTCCTGAACACATTTCCACAGAGTCCACACTTTTCTCCTCATTCCTGATCAGCTGGTCTGCCCGTTTACTGACTCTGGGTCAATCTGGCGCCCCGACAATCAACCCCACAGACAGACTGTTAAAGGTTGTGTAGAATCTGAGTCCTTCAAAAGCTCCTGAAGAGAAAGAACCGGGTCAGACCTATCTTAAACTACTTCTCTTATATGTTTAAAGGTCCCATATTCTGCTTTTTGACTTATCTCTGCTTTAAACATGATTACAGCTATTGGCCCTGAGTAGTTTTTTCATTGACTCCTTTAAGCTTCAGAGCGATCTGTGTCCTTCTGAAACGCCCGGGTCCACACTGATGACCAATATGAAGCGCAGAAGCCCGTTTGCTTTGTCTTTAAAATGGTTTTTAAATACTGTCGTCAAATCAGGGATACACATTAAGTATGCTGTTTGTTTTCAATAATAATAAGAAGAATAAAAACACTGAAATCCAGGAGGTGATGGACAAACTGAAACAGAATCACAGCGCGCAGCCAGCTCCCGAGTCCGGCTCTCGAGTCCGGCTCCGAGTCCGGCTCCGAGTCCGGCTCCGAGTCCGGCTCCGAGTCCGGCTCCGAGTCCGGCTCTCGAGTCCGGCTCTCGAGTCGGCCGGCTCTCGAGTTCGGCTCTCGAGTCCGGCTACCGAGTCCGGCTCCCGAGTCCGGCTCCCGAGTCCGGCTCTCGAGTCCGGCTCCGAGTCCGGCTCCGAGTCCGGCTCCGAGTCCGGCTCTCGAGTCCGGCTCTCAAGTCCGGCTCTCGAGTCCGGCTCTCGAGTCCGGCTACCGAGTCCTGCTCCCGAGTCCAATTCCCAAGTCCCGCCCCCGAGTCCTGCTCCCAGGTCCTGCTCCCGAGTCCCGCCCCCGAGTCCGGCTCCCGAGTCCTGCTCCCGAGTCCAATTCCCAAGTCCCGCCCCCGAGTCCGGCTCCCGAGTCCGGCTCCCGAGTCCCGCCCCCGAGTCCTGCTCCCAGGTCCTGCTCCCGAGTCCCGCCCCCGAGTCCTGCTCCCGAGTCCTGCTCCCGAGTCCAATTCCCAAGTCCCGCCCCCGAGTCCGGCTCCCGAGTCCGGCTCCCGAGTCCCGCCCCCGAGTCCGGCTCCCGAGTCCTGCTCCCGAGTCCTGCTCCCGAGTCCCGCCCCCGAGTCCGGCTCCCGAGTCCGGCTCCCGAGTCCGGCTCTCGAGTCCGGCCCTCGAGTCCGGCTCCGAGTCCGGCTCCGAGTCCGGCTCCGAGTCCGGCTCTCGAGTCCGGCTCTCAAGTCCGGCTCTCGAGTCCGGCTCTCGAGTCCGGCCCTCGAGTCCGGCTCCGAGTCCGGCTCTCGAGTCCGGCTCTCAAGTCCGGCTCTCGAGTCCGGCTCTCGAGTCCGGCTCTCGAGTCCGGCTACCGAGTCCTTCTCCCGAGTCCTGCCCCCGAGTCCTGCTCCCAGGTCCTGCTCCCGAGTCCCGCCCCCGAGTCCGGCTCCCGAGTCCGGCTCCCGAGTCCGGCTCTCGAGTCCGGCTCTCGAGTCCGGCTGCGAGTCCGGCTCCGAGTCCGGCTCTCGAGTCCGGCTCTCAAGTCCGGCTCCCGAGTCCGGCTCCGAGTCCGGCTCTCGAGTCCGGCTCTCAAGTCCGGCTCTCGAGTCCTGCTCCGAGTCCTGTTCCCGAGTCCAATTCCCAAGTCCCGCCCCCGAGTCCTGCTCCCGAGTCCCGCCCCCGAGTCCGGCTCCCGAGTCCTGCTCCCGAGTCCAATTCCCAAGTCCCGCCCCCGAGTCCGGCTGCCGAGTCCGGCTCCCGAGTCCGGCTCCTGAGTCCCGCCCCCGAGTCCTGCTCCCAGGTCCTGCTCCCGAGTCTCGCCCCCGAGTCCGGCTCCCGAGTCCTGCTCCCGAGTCCTGCTCCCGAGTCCAATTCCCAAGTCCCGCCCCCAGTCCGGCTGCCGAGTCCGGCTCCCGAGTTCGGCTCCTGAGTCCCGCCCCCGAGTCCTGCTCCCAGGTCCTGCTCCCGAGTCTCGCCCCCGAGTCCGGCTCCCGAGTCCTGCTCCCGAGTCCTGCTTCCGAGTCCAATTCCCAAGTCCCGCCCCCGAGTTCGGCTGCCGAGTCCGGCTCTCGAGTCCGGCTCCCGAGTCCCGCCCCCGAGTCCGGCTCCCGAGTCCGGCTCCCGAGTCCGGCTCCCGAGTCCCGCCCCCGAGTCCGGCTCCCGAGTCCAGCTCCCGAGTCCGGCTCCCGAGTCTAATGTACAGTATCTCTGTGGTTTGGTCCTGCGGAGAGCACATGGAGCTTTACTGTTTTTCTGCTTTTGTCAGTGACTATAAAAGTGTAAAGATCACGTCAACTGTTGTACCAGGGATAAACAACTCGCACCATGCGGGTGGGGGGAGGCGGGTGAGGTGGGGTGGGGAGAGGCGGGTGAGGGTGGGGGGGGGGGCGGGTGAGGGTGGGGAGAGGCAGGTGAGGGCAGGGGGAGGCGGGTGAGGGTGGGGGGAGGCGTACACATAGACAGAGGAGCAGACTCTGGATCAGCCTGTTTGAGTCGAGGTGATGTCATCTAAATACAAGAAATGTCTCGAGTTTTAAGTGTTAAATCAGTATCACACAGGTGCATAGGATTGACCATGGAACCTTTAAATCACATTTGGTCTCATTCTGCAGCATGATCACAGCCATTTGGCAAGTATCTTTTGGAGACTTGCCCATTCCCACGTCATCTCTCCGTCTATTTCACAAGGAAACACGCCGCAATTACCAGGACGCCGCCTGCAGCAGTGGTGTCCCTACACAACCCATTATCTGACGGGATTCTCCTCGTCAAGGTGTTGTAGTGGAAGGCCCGGAGTAAAGTTACGATGTAAAGAAAGGCTGGGCTGAAAAAGGGTCTCTCTGTGTCTCACTATTCAGCATTTCCTTACAGAGTTACACTTTCAGAGGGTGGCTGAAAGAATGGGGTACGGCGCGTTCCCAGGGTCTCTGTGTTCACGGCCACACTGCTGACAAACTCACGCAGCACTAAGTCATCAAATTTCACTAAAGTTGACACCGAAACTAGTGTGGAAACGGGTTATGAGTCGATCTGGAGAGACTGGACCAGACGACACATGGTATTATTAGAACTATTCATGGGTTGGCAGTAATCTGACACTACAACAAATATACGTATGACTCTGAAGACTATATTTTGACGATAACATTAGTCGCATTTCCACCGTAGGAGTTCCTGGTAAAAGGAGGGGGTGGGACTTCTTCAGGGACCGGTCTCTCCCTCGGTCTCTTTGTGGTCGTGTTTCCACTGCAGAGTAGGACCCTCGGCAACGTGGTGTGGTTTGATCGTCGCGTATTCCCTTCTTATTTTTTATTTTTATGGTTGGAATTGCTCTGGTTGTTGTTGTCTTTGAGTTTTTCATAATCCTGCTTCAGAGAGTCCAGAGAGGGACCAGAGAGAGGCCAGATAGAGGCCAGAGAGAGGCCAGAGAGGGACCAGAGAGAGACCAGAGAGAGGCCAGAGAGAGACCAGAGAGAGACCAGAGAGGGACCAGAGAGAGGCCAGAGAGAGACCAGAGAGAGGCCAGAGAGAGACCAGAGAGAGGCCAGAGAGGGACCAGAGAGAGGCCAGAGAGAGACCAGAGAGAGTCCAGAGAGAGACCAGAGAGAGGCCAGAGAGAGAGAGGCCAGAGAGAGACCAGAGAGAGGCCAGAGAGAGACCAGAGAGAGACCAGAGAGAGAGAGGCCAGAGAGAGACCAGAGAGAGACCAGAGAGAGACCAGAGAGAGGCCAGAGAGGGACCAGAGAGAGGCCAGAGAGAGACCAGAGAGAGGCCAGAGAGAGACCAGAGAGAGTCCAGAGAGAGACCAGAGAGAGGCCAGAGAGAGAGAGGCCAGAGAGAGACCAGAGAGAGGCCAGAGAGAGACCAGAGAGAGACCAGAGAGAGAGAGGCCAGAGAGAGACCAGAGAGAGACCAGAGAGAGACCAGAGAGAGGCCAGAGAGGGACCAGAGAGAGGCCAGAGAGAGACCAGAGAGAGGCCAGAGAGGGACCAGAGAGAGGCCAGAGAGAGACCAGAGAGAGTCCAGAGAGAGAGAGACCAGAGAGAGGCCAGAGAGAGACCAGAGAGAGGCCAGAGAGAGACCAGAGAGAGGCCAGAGAGGGACCAGAGAGAGTCCAGAGAGGGACCAGAGAGTGGCCAGAGAGAGGCCAGAGAGGGACCAGAGAGAGGCCAGAGAGTGGCCAGAGAGAGGCCAGAGAGGGACCAGAGAGAGGCCAGAGAGGGACCAGAGAGAGGCCAGAGAGAGACCAGAGAGAGGCCAGAGAGAGACCAGAGAGAGTCCAGAGAGGGACCAGAGAGTGGCCAGAGAGAGGCCAGAGAGGGACCAGAGAGAGGCCAGAGAGAGGCCAGAGAGAGGCCAGAGAGAGGCCAGAGAGAGACCAGAGAGAGACCAGAGAGGGACCAGAGAGAGGCCAGAGAGGGACCAGAGAGAGTCCAGAGAGGGACCAGAGAGAGTCCAGAGAGGGACCAGAGAGAGGCCAGAGAGAGACCAGAGAGAGGCCAGAGAGAGACCAGAGAGGGACCAGAGAGAGGCCAGAGAGAGACCAGAGAGGGACCAGAGAGAGGCCAGAGAGAGACCAGAGAGAGGCCAGAGAGAGACCAGAGAGGGACCAGAGAGAGGCCAGAGAGGGACCAGAGAGAGACCAGAGAGAGACCAGAGAGAGAGACCAGAGAGAGACCAGAGAGAGGCCAGAGAGAGACCAGAGAGAGGCCAGAGAGAGACCAGAGAGGGACCAGAGAGAGAGACCAGAGAGAGAGACCAGAGAGAGACCAGAGAGAGGCCAGAGAGAGACCAGAGAGAGGCCAGAGAGGGACCAGAGAGAGGCCAGAGAGAGACCAGAGAGAGGCCAGAGAGAGACCAGAGAGAGGCCAGAGAGGGACCAGAGAGAGGCCAGAGAGAGACCAGAGAGAGTCCAGAGAGAGACCAGAGAGAGGCCAGAGAGAGAGAGGCCAGAGAGAGACCAGAGAGAGACCAGAGAGAGGCCAGAGAGAGAGAGGCCAGAGAGAGACCGAGAGAGCCAGAGAGAGACCAGAGAGAGACCAGAGAGAGACCAGAGAGAGACCAGAGAGAGAGAGGCCAGAGAGAGACCAGAGAGAGACCAGAGAGAGACCAGAGAGAGGCCAGAGAGGGACCAGAGAGAGACCAGAGAGAGACCAGAGAGAGGCCAGAGAGGACCAGAGAGAGCCAGAGAGAGACCAGAGAGAGGACCAGAGAGACAGAGAGAGACCAGAGAGAGTCCAGAGAGAGAGAGAGAGAGACCAGAGAGAGGCCAGAGAGAGACCAGAGAGAGAGAGAGAGACCAGAGAGAGGCCAGAGAGAGACCAGAGAGGCCAGAGAGAGACCAGAGAGAGGCCAGAGAGGGACCAGAGAGAGACCAGAGAGGACCAGAGAGTGGCCAGAGAGAGGCCAGAGAGGGACCAGAGAGAGGCCAGAGAGGGACCAGAGAGAGGCCAGAGAGAGACCAGAGAGAGACCAGAGAGGGACCAGAGAGAGTCCAGAGAGGGACCAGAGAGAGGCCAGAGAGAGAGGCCAGAGAGAGGCCAGAGAGAGGCCAGAGAGAGACCAGAGAGAGGCCAGAGAGGACCAGAGAGAGTCCAGAGAGGGACCAGAGAGAGGCCAGAGAGAGACCAGAGAGAGGCCAGAGAGAGACCAGAGAGGGACCAGAGAGAGGCCAGAGAGGGACCAGAGAGAGGCCAGAGAGAGACCAGAGAGAGGCCAGAGAGAGTCCAGAGAGGGACCAGAGAGAGGCCAGAGAGGGACCAGAGAGAGGCCAGAGAGAGACCAGAGAGAGGCCAGAGAGAGTCCAGAGAGGGACCAGAGAGAGGCCAGAGAGAGGCCAGAGAGGGACCAGAGAGAGGCCAGAGAGAGACCAGAGAGAGACCAGAGAGAGACCAGAGAGAGACCAGAGAGAGACCAGAGAGAGACCAGAGAGAGAGACCAGAGAGGAGACCAGAGAGAGCCAGAGAGAGACCAGAGAGAGACCAGAGAGAGACCAGAGAGAGTCCAGAGAGGACCAGAGAGAGACCAGAGAGAGACCAGAGAGGGAGAGAGACCTTGTAGAGACCATTAAAACAAGACATTTTTGCTTGTCCCAATGGTAAATCTTGTTTTTAGACTGTCAACATGTGCGCAAATTGAAATAAAACCACTTTATTCAAGCTGTAATTACCTTATATTTTATCTATTTTTTTTTCAGTGTGTTTTTGCAGTTCAGAAGAGAGACTTGGAATCTGTACAAAGGTTTTTATAAGTTATACACATTTATAAATAGTAATGAAAATAATGTAAAAGTGGTCAAAAGCTGCTTAGTCAAGACTAAAATATGGTCCGACATAACACGGTTCAAAATACAACCTGTTCATCAAAAGTACTAAGAGAATTTTCCCACATTTTAGGAAAAGATATCCTGGTCTTACCATGTGTAAACTTGGTCCATGATAATTTCCTACATGTACGTCTGGTCTTACCATGTGTAAACTCTGGTCCATGATAATTTCTACATGTACGTCTGGTCTTACCATGTGTAAACTCTGGTCCATGGTCATTTCCTACATGTACGTCTGGTCTTACCATGTGTAAACTCTGGTCCATGGTCATTTCCTACATGTACGTCTGGTCTTACCATGTGTATAAACTCTGGTCCATGGTCATTTCCTACATGTACGTCTGGTCTTACCATGTGTAAACTCTGGTCCATGATCATCTCCTACATGTACGTCTGGTCTTACCATGTGTAAACTCTGGTCCATGGTCATTTCCTACATGTACGTCTGGTCTTACCATGTGTAAACTCTGGTCCATGGTCATTTCCTACATGTACGTCTGGTCTTACCATGTGTAAACTCTGGTCCATGGTCATTTCCTACATGTACGTCTGGTCTTACCATGTGTAAACTCTGGGTCCATGATCATCTCCTACATGTACGTCTGGTCTTACCATGTGTAAACTCTGGTCCATGGTCATTTCCTACATGTACGTCTGGTCTTACCATGTGTAAACTCTGGTCCATGGTCATTTTCCTACATGTACGTCTGGTCTTACCATGTGTAAACTCTGGTCCATGATCATTTCCTACATGTACGTCTGGTCTTACCATGTGTAAACTCTGGTCCATGGTCATTTCCTACATGTATGTCTGGGTCTGATCCTAGTGGCTGCAGTTTCCTCGGTTGAATCCCCTCCGACCAATCAGAGAGCGGGGGAGGCGGGTGTTGTAGGTCGGTTTCGGTGACATTAAAAGTTTGTGCTGAATTTGCTGGTTGTAGTTTGTCGGAGAATGCGAAAGTAAAATAATCTGTTCTGGTTCAATCCAAATATCAAGAAACTGAAGCCGGAGCAAGAAGAATGTTTAGTAAATGTCATTGAAGCGAAGATGTTGTGGCTCTACTCCCCACGGGCTCCGATAGTGGCAAAGGAGATGGCTAAAGCTAGACT